AAAAAAAAAAAAAAAAAAAAGTGAATTATTTTTAAAACTTACCTAATTTTAACCAAAATAACTTCAGATCCTACTTTGGCAATTTTGCTGAGATCTCCCTTTGATATTGTAGGGTTATCATCACATTAGCTTTCCTGTGTATGTCCAAAGAAATTAAAATACTCTGTCTTACAACAGTACATGCTCTGGGATGTGGATGGGTAATTGGGGTGGATTTTATACACCAAGAAAAATATAATCGGCAGGAGCTAGCATGGGTTTATTAGGAACAACTTGGAACAAAAAGGAAGACTATCCTCTTCCTTCTTTGACAGAATATTAATATGATTTATCAGGAAAATGCTATTGATGTAGTATAATACCAAACACTTAGATGAAATCTTTCATATTATACTTATGGACAAGTTGAAGAATTAAACCCTGGATGTGTGGATTCCAGCTGGTCAAGTGACCATTCCCAAAAGAATGCAGAGTCAATTGGTTAATGCCAGTCCAGAATGGGGTATTTATTATCATGCCTCAGGGCTTTATCCTCAGCTCCACATTTTTTATTTGGGTGGAAATATAGAAAGCATGCCTACTCATTTATCAGATGACACAAAGTTGGGGAGAATAGTAAAGGGACCAAGCGTAAACTTCCCCTTCAGCTGCAGGAAGTCTGCAGAAAATCAGCAGACAAAAGGCAGATTCATAGAAGAAAAGGCATACACAATTTTATTTTAATGTGTGTAACACAGGAGAATCACAGGACAATGATTACCTAATAACCCACTGGGGTACAGACGCTTATGTACCCTCCTTAAGGGAAAGAGAGATGTGGAAATATGGATGATTTTAAGGGGAAAGGTAAATGGTTTTTAGGCTGATTCAATGGACTTGGAAAACATACAGTGAGTCCCAGGACAAAATATTTTGGGCCCACAGAACAGAAAATGGTTTGTGACAAGAGTCTGTCCAGGTGTCAAGTGTGTTGACAGACTTCAGTCTTTCTTCCTGAAATATGAGTTAAGTTAATGAAAACTCATGGAAGAAGCCAGAAGTAGTTTTTCATTTTTGGCAAGCCTGGACATTGGGAAGATAAGTGGGTATCAGAGTAAAGTTTCTTCTGGCATCTGCTGGTCTCCAAGGGCCTTTCATTTAAAATAATCAGCATACCAGGGTGCCATATTTTGGGGTGAAATTCCCTGGTTTTCTCCAATAGTAAGTGCCTCCCATGACATATTTAGAACTCAAAAGGGCCTCAGCAGTCTGGAATGATGGGCCAATTCTAACCAGACGAAATGATGTTAAGGATGAGGGTATGGTCCTATAGTTGAGTGGAAAAAATAAATAAACCTTTAGCTATGTGACAAGTGGCAACTGGCTTAGTAGCAGGAGGTGTAAAAAGGCTTAAGGTTGTCATCAGCAGCAAGAGCAGGGTAGGTTAGAGGGGGTATGGCCCCTAAGATAGCTCGTCCTGTTTTCACCGAGTTCCAGTGTCTAAAGCCGGGGTCCATGGCACCTTGCTCACGTAAGTCCTCACGTGAGTGTTAGTTATGTCTTTAGAAGACAGTAGACCAGCTATGGTTGTTCAGAAAGAGAGTAAGACTTCAAAGGGACGTGGAACAGTCACATGAGGAAGGATTGACCAGGACAGTGAAAGGAAGAGCTGGAAAGGACATGTTTGTCAGGCTGGTGTGTGGGAAAGGGTTGGTCTTGTTCTCTGAGACATAGGGACAGAATGTACAGAAAAGAGGAGAAGCAAGAGGGAGCTCTATTTTAAATCATTCTAAGGAAGAAGTGTCAAATGTTTAAAGATGAAACAGATTGCTTTAAAAGGAGGTAATTTCTCTTGTCACTGGAGGTATTCAAGAAGCTTCAACATCACTGGCAGCTTGTTCACCAGACTAATGCCTTTGCAAGCTTCATTTCCCCCACACCAATAACAAACATAAGCAACCTGACATGAGGATAGTAGCTAGTGCCAAGATGGAAGAAAATGCTCATATATGAGACTTGCTTGTTCCTGTTCAAGTTTTTTTTTTTTTTTTTTAATTCCTTTCTTTTTTCTTCAACTGTTAATGGACAGATTCCTTGGTGGTCAAAATGCAAGCTTTTTGGGAAAATTCCACTAATAAATCAATCATCCAGAGAAGCCTAGTCCCCCATAAACTATTCAGAGTGCTGTTGAAAATTGTCAAGGAAACAAGACCAGGCTTCCTGGCCAGAAGCCGTTTACAGACTAACTGAGGAAATAAAAATATCACAATATATGTATATAAAAGCAAATGGCCAGACACGGTGGCTCACACCTGTAATCCCAGCACTTTGGGTGGCTGAGGTAGGTGGATCACTTGAGGTCAGGAGTTCAAGACCAGCCTGGCCAAGATTGGGAAACCCCATCTCTATACAAAAAAATACAAAAAATTAGCTGGGTGTGGTGGCAGATGCCTGTAATCTCAGCTACTCGGGAGGCTGAGGCAGGAGAATCGCTTGAACCCGGGAGGCAGAGGTTGCAGTGAGCCAAGATTATGCCACTGCACTCCAGCCTGGGCAACAAGAGTGAAACTGACTCAAAAAAAAAAAAAAAAAATCGAGTAAGGTTTTTTTTTAAAGAATGAATAAAAGAAACCCATGATTATATATAATAAATTAAAATATATACCAATATATATAAAGGGAACATTGCCTTTAAATGGCAAGATCAATGATGATGCTTTTATCTCATTTTTCTGACTTCCCCAAATTTTCCATAATTAATTTATATCATTTTTTACAATTAAAAGTAAATGTGGTTTAAAATGTATTTATACACACACAAAGAGTGGAATATTATTGGCTGCTGAGAATAACAGATGCGAAAGTCTCTTGCAGCTTGTCCAGGAAAATGTTAAGCTTAGAGTTTTGCTGTTGTGAAGGTAGATTGTTCAGGGGGACATGAGAAGACATGTCAGTGTCAAAATGCACAGCATGGGGAAAAGAGTAGGCGTGGAAGGGGTTAAGCATGCCCAGCGTTGACCAGCAGGCTTTACTGTAGCTGAGAACCTCAAAACTCGGCTTATATGTGCTGTATTGGTGTTATGGGCCCACTGACATTATATGCCCGTCTCTATCACATATCTTTTACACTGTTTTGTAACTTGTCTGCCCCCCCATGTTTCATGGGACTGTTAAGTCACAGAGCAGCAGGGACTTTGTCTTGATATCTTTGTATTTCCAGCAACTAGCATGGGACTCTGGCACACCATAAATGCTCAAAGGTGCTCCGTGAATGTTTGCACAACATTCTTAAATGATGCCAGAAGCAGCATGAACATACAGGAGGCTATCCAATGAAGAAAGCCTTAATATGAATGATTGAGAGGCTTGGCCCTTATACGGAATTGACCTTTGTAGTGCAGGATTTGAATATATAACAGGAAGGCCACAAAAGAAGTTCCTGCAGTGAGCCTGCTGGGAGATGATAAAGCTGTCTGGGCACTGGCATGGGTGAGGGGAAAAGAAAGAGCTAGTGGGCTGGGCGCAGTGATTCACGCCTGTAATCCCAGCACTTTGGGAGGCTGAGGCGAGCGGATCATGAGGTCAGGAAATCGAAACCATCCTGGCTAATATGGTGAAACCCTGTCTTTACTAAAATGCAAAAAATTAGCCTGGTACAGTGGCACGTGGCTGTAGTCGCAGCTACTCGGGAGGCTGAGGCAGGGGAATTGCTTGAACCCGGGAGGTGGAGATTGCCGTGAGCTAAGATGATGCCACTGCACTCCAGCCTGGGCAACAGAGCGAGATTCCGTCTAAAAAAAAAGGAAGAGCTAGTGATGCTGGGTAGTTGGGTGCCATTTTAAGTAGTGGCAAAAACCACAATTACTTTTGCACTGACTTAATAAAATCTTGCAAAACTAACTTTTCTGAAAGCCAAGTTAAAGAGCAGATGAAGAGTAAATCTAATAACAATGTCTTCTTTGGTTATTTTCTGATTTCAGACTGCATAAACCAAGAACCCAAAGATAGCAGCCCTGCAGAAGAATGTGATGGTGAGAAAAGAAAGCCTCTCCTCCTCCTTTCCAAGTTGTGGGGTTTCGTTTCAGATATGTGAGCCCCATGCTGGGTAATGCAGTTTCCAGTTTGGGAAAGTACGGGTGGAAGGAGTGGAAGGAGGACTATTAAGGTCAAATCAGCTTCTGTTGACTACTGGCTGTATGACCTTCAGCAGGTGACCCTGCTTCTCCAAGCCTCAGTTTCATCATTTGCTAAGTGAACATAATAACCAAGACCCACCTCATAGGGCTCTTAGGGAAATACTTGTAAATGTCTTATCACAATGCCTGGTAAATAGCAAGCATCCCATAGATGAAGGCTGTTATTATTTTTCTCATGTATAAAGTGACCAACAAGTTGCATGGAATCTCCGTTTCTAAAATGTTCCCTGTCCATAGGGCTCTCCTTTTTTCAGAAACCACATCCCTCCCTGAGAAGGCCAGGGCTGTGGTTGTCACCTGTGGTAAGCTGTGTGTGTGCCAACTGGGCTGCGCAGTACTTGCGCTCTTTTTGCATTTCCGCGGCTCCAGCCGCAGCACATTTGCCTTTGATTGTGGCCCCTACAGATTGCGACAGCTGTGTGATGACCCTCCTGAACGACCTGGCCACCATGGGCGAGCAGCTCCGCCTGATCAAGTCTCAGCTGCAGGGCCTGGGTGTCAGCGCGGGGCTTCTGGAGCAGATGAGGCACGTGGAGACCCAGGCCAAGGACCTGAGGGTAAATCCCCTGTGTGTGGCCCAGAGTAGACATGTGGGGAGGAGATGGTGCAAGAGTGGATTCTCCATAAGCAGGAGGGGAGAGGTTGACTCTTGAAAAGGCTCAGGGATTGTCCTCCTTCCTCTGATCCAAATGAAGATAAGATTTTTCCTGGTGGAAAATCATTTTTGTGAACACACAAAACTAACACATCTAAGTGAACAATACTTACCGAACATTACCAGGCTAATTTTTCTCATAGAGCCTTTATTTAGTTCAGTATCTTGCATTCAGAAGTATCAAACACAGGTTTGTATTAAATTGATATTGACTTTTCTTTAAATGTTGGATAGAATTTTTTCCAGTGAGGCCATGTGAGCCTGGAATTTTATTTGTTGGAAGTTGTGGTTTTTTAAAATAAGCCATGAATTTAATTTTCAAAGAATAGGTATAAGACTACAGTATTTGGGCTATCTGTTTCTTCTTGAGTGATATTTGGTCATTTGTACCTTTCAAATAATGTGTCCATTTCATCTAAATTACCAAATATATTGACATAAAATTGTTCATAATATTCCCTTATTATCCTTTATACATCTGCAAAGTCTGTAGTCATGCCCTCTCATTCACTTTCTGATATTGATAATTTATGTCTTATCTCTTTCTCTTATTTTGACTAGAGTATTATTAATTTTATTGATCTTTTTATTTCATTGCTTTTATCCATTGTTTTTCTGTTTTCAGTTTCATTGATTTCTGTTTTTATCCATTTTTTTTTCCTTCATTGTGCTTGCTTTGGGTGAAATTTGCTATTCATTTTCTGGTTTCTTAAGCTTATTTTATTGACTCAAAATCTTTCTTGATTCTAACATAAGCATATAATCCCATCAATTTTAGCTGTATCCCACAGATTTTGCAATGTTATGTTTTCATTCTCATTCAATTCTATGGACTTTCTGATTTCCCTTGTGACTTATCTTTAACCCATGTGTTATTTAGAAATGTATTGGCTGGGCATGGTGGCTCACACCTGTAATCCCAGCACTTTGGGAGGCCGAGGTGGGTGAATTACTTGGGCCTAGGAGTTCGAGACCAGATTGGCCAACATGACGAAACCCCTTCTCTACTAAAAATACAGAAATCATCTGGGTGTGGTGGCGAGTGCCTGTAGTCCCAGCTACTTGGATGGCTGAGGCTGGAGAATCGTTTGAACCCTGAAGGCAGAGGTTGCAGTGAGCTGAGATGGCGCCACTTGTGCTCCAGCATGGGTGATGGTGACAGAGCGAGACTCTGTCTCAAAAAAAAAATGTGTTATTTAACTTCCAAATTGGGGATTTTCCAGATAACTTTCTGTTATTGGTTTCTGATTTAACTCTTTCATGGTCAGAGAACACACTTTCTATGATTTTAGTTATTTTAAATGTGTTGAGGTTTGTTTCATAGCTTGGAATGTGGTCCATTTGGGTGAATGCTCTGAGTACATTTGGATGAAAGGTGGCTGCGGGGGTATCCTGAGAAATAATAGAACCTAAAGTGCCCCACAGGGCACAATCAGGCTCCCTGGGGGCAAACAGGGGATACTGTGCCCATGAATGGGGGCTAGAAAGCAGCCTGGAAACTGCCCCATCCTCATTGTTACATGATGGCCATATGAAAGCCTAGAAAAGCTACAGGGGCAGGACAAATCTACAGACCTAGATCTGTGCTGGAATGTGACATCCTCTCAACGCCATTATGGTATACAAATCCTCAACTGCCAAAGTAAGGCCCAGTCCTAGACCGCAGGTGGGGGGTTCCACTGGGCGTGGTGATAACCATAAGTGCACCAGACAGGGCCCGGAGGGTGCAGAGAGAGGGGAGCTCCCATCCAGAATGAGCCTGCAAGTGTTGTCAACAGGCAAGAAGACAGACACCCAACAGAAATAATAGTCAGGAGATGAGTTCACTTCGGATAAAATGAAAACAATAGGACAATCTGAAATTTGAAAAATTTCAAAAAGAATAACACCCAATAAAAGGAACAAGAAATTAGGAAATTTGAGGGGGAAAACCACCAGAAATCAAACAAGAAGAGGTAGATATGAAAAGACCCAACCGAAAATCATAGAAATGAACAAATATACTCATTGAAGTAAAAGAATTCAGCAGATGACATTGGCTCTGGTCTAGACACCGTGAACAAGGCTTTAGGGAAAGTTTAATAAGTACTTTTGGGTTGAGGGCTGATTCTAGTGGCTATAGCTGAGTACATGTAGGAAAAGATGATTCTAGAAAAATGAGCCTTTTCTATCCTCTTGGACAATTTTAGTTCAAGGTTTATAGGCTTAATATGGAGAAGAGGAGGGGAGAGTATGTATGTTTTGAGGAAAGAAAAGGAAGCCACTTGGGTTGCTTGGATTTCATCCACACAGCCCTGCAGCCTCCACCATTCTGCACACATGCCGTGTGCCACACCCTGTGCTAAGGGTTTTACTCAAGTCTCACAACCTCTTCATGAGGAACATAGCATTATCCTCATTAAACAGGCTGGGAGAAGCTGAGCAACGTGCCTAAAATCACACAGCTGCCACATGGTGGTTCTGGAAGAATTCAAATCAAGAGCAAACCCTAGACCATGCTTTACCCACTCCACCTCTTATCTCGGTGTTCTGCTGACAATCTATATAATGATGTGCCTCCCTCTCCCCATACTAAAGTTAAAATAGAACTATCTTGCTATTTCACACAAACATGCAAAAATTAAGAAAGATTGAGTATAAGAAGGGAAGTAACATTTTTGAATGTCCATGTGTACATGACATTTTAAAATACATTAGCTCACTTATCACCAAAACCAACCCTGCAACTAAATATTATAATCCCCAATTTACTAATGGAGGAGCAAGGCTTAGTGAGGCTCATCTACTATGTGGTAGACTTAGGGTTTGGACCTCGGCTTCAAAGCCTGTGTTCTTTTACCCAACATGGGCTCTGACATACATATTGAGGTAATAATACCATTTTTTCTCTAAACTTTTTCAATAGATTAATACTTTTTTCCAAAAAAGTGAAAATAATCACTATTATAGATATTACATACAGCAGTGTCTAAGAGTCTAAGAGTAATGAGGCAATTTAGCCTAAAAAAAGGGCAAGGTACCCGGTCTGTGGCCCTGAAGCAGTCACTGATGAGCTACACAACCATGGACAAGTCACCTGACTTCTTTGGGCTTCCATCTTCTTTCTCATTTGCAATATGAGGCTGTTCAACTGCACGAGCTCTGAGTTCCCAGCAGTGAACAGATTCCTAATGGTTCCTTCAATCAGGTAGCCCTATGCATTGTTTTTAGTGTTGTCAGGTTAACAGCAGGTTTTAAAAAACTATATTTATTGTAGAATCTGGAAATTAATCAGGTAAGCAGTATCGCCCTCATTTCTACAAGGTTAGGTAATTAATTCCAGTGAAGTAGCTGTTATCTCTTCACATTTGTTACTTTATTTTAGAGCCATATCACAATGTACATCAGAAAACAGATTCCTTTGTAACTTATTTCAAAGAAACACATTTGTGTGTGTGTGAAACTGACAATGGTCTGGCCAAATGACTCTTCATTTATAACCCTGTTTAGCAGGTTGACAAGGCTTAGTCTAAATTGATACTGTAAAGTGACATTCATTTGTGTTTTATTTCCAGAATCAGTTGCACAACTACCGTTCTGCCATTTCAAATCATGGATCAAAACTAGAAGGCCTGGAAAGAGAACTGAGTGATTTGAATCGGGAATTTGAGACTTTGCAAGAAAAGGTAACGTGTTAACGTCTATTTAACTTTTGAGGTTTTTTGCTTTCAAAGTATTTTTATTTGTCCTCATCAACTTAATTTGTTCCTAATCAATTTGTCTTTCATATAGGCTCAAGTAAATTCCAGAAAAGCACAAACATTATACAACAATGTTAATAGGGCAACCCAAAGTGCAAAAGAACTGGATGTGAAGATTAAAAACGTCATCCGGAATGTACACAGTAAGTAGAGTTACTAAGCCCAATTACATTTTTTTGGTTACATAATCTTCACTGTACACTAAAATAATTCCCTTTAAGATTTCAACATTATGCAAAGAATCCCATACTGATACTAAAAAACTAATATAAAACCTCCATAAAAGTTTCTGCCTTTTTTTTTAAGTGGCCGACTGGAGCCCAGAATTCCCAGTTTAATAAACCACTTGATGTTTCCTAGTTCTCTTGAAGCAGATCTCTGGGACAGATGGAGAGGGAAACAACGTGCCTTCAGGTGACTTTTCCAGAGAGTGGGCTGAAGCCCAACGCATGATGACGGAGCTTCGGAACCGGAACTTTGAAAAGCACCTGAGAGAAGCGGAAGCTGATAGAAGGGAGTCTCAGCTCTGTAAGGACGCTCCCGAATTCTTGCATCCAATCCGTTCTAATTGATTTGAAATAAATGTGCAGAGTACAATGTAGAGTTCCCTGCAAAAAAATATTTGCACAGATTTAATGAGACCTCTTGGAGATGGGACCCCAGTCTAAACATAACATTTATTTATGTTTCGTTTACATCTTATACACATCTCTTGAAGGTAATTCTATACAATAACAATTCTGGGCATGAGCTTTTTTTGTGTATGTGAGACAGAGTTTCACTCCATCACTCAGGCTGGAGTGCAGTGGTATCATCTCAAGATGGAAGGCCTCATGGGTTTCAGCAAATATTATTGTTAAGAGCATCATGTGGTGAAAATCGGTAGTCCCCGGGAGACCCAGAGCCTTTTCTCCAAGTTACCAAGAGGCCATAGGATACAACAGTTTACCATCATGCAAAAAAAAAGGTTCTTCTAAAAGTTAGATATAGCTGCCTCTTTTTCCTTCTGAGCATTTTTCTGATGCTCATTCACCTCTTTCCAGTTTTCTCATTATGTCATCATTAATGGTCACCTCACCACTACTGAATTTTTGAATCACAAATTGATACTAGCACTATTACAGATCGAGTGTCCCTTTCCAAAATGCTTGGGACCAGATAGTGTTTCAGATTTTTTATTTTTATTTTTTGGCTTTTGGAATATTTGCATAGACCTCTTGGAGATGGGACCCCAGTCTAACTATAAAATTTATTTATGTTTCATTTACATCTTATACACGTATCTTGAAGGTAATTTTATACAATATTTTTAATAATTCTGTAAATTAAATGAACTTGTGTGTGTGTGTATGAGACAGAGTCTCACTTCATCACTCAGGCTGGAGTGCAGTGATGTGATGTCAACTCACTGCACCAGCCATCTCCTGAGTTCAAGCTATTCTCCTGCCTCGGGCTCCCAAGTAGCTGGAATTACAGGCACCTGCCACCACACCTTGCTAGTTTTTATATTTTTAGTAGAGACGGGGTTTCACCATTTTGGCCAGGCTGATCTCAGATTCCTGACCTCAAGTGATATGCCTGCCTTGGCCTCCCAAAGTGCTGGGATTACAGGCATGAGCCACCATGCCCAGCCTCTGAAACGAACTTTTGACTGCATTTTGACTGCACCCTGTCGCATGAGGTCAGATATGGAATCTTCTACTTGTGGCATCATGTCATTGCTCAAAATTGTCAGATTTTGAAACATTTCAGATTTTGGCTTTTTAGATAAGGGATGTTCATACTTGTATTACAAAAACAAATAAAAAATGATGTGCTAGAAATTAATAGAACACATCAAAAGGTTTGACTAGAGAAAATGCCTCATTAGCTCAAAACTGAGAAATGTTAGTTTGGTGCTTACTTTTTTCAGATACTGGTATTTATTCTTTAAAATGACATATCAGTGGTAAATGTAGACACTAGCAGTTTTCTTGCTTAAATTTGTATTCTTCAAATTGAATATGAGTCTTGGCTTTTAATTGTAAGTATACAGTATTCACAGTGGAAGGAGCATGCACTGTACACCCTGCAGCCAGCTCATGTTCAAGTCCTAAGCCTGACTGGCCATGTAACCTTGGGTCAGTCCTCTCATTTCTTACGGCCTCCATCTCTTTATCTAAAACATGAGAATGATAATTATTGTTTTCCAGTGGAAGTTAAATGAGGCAACATGTACAGTGCACATAGCAGGTCTGTGTCAATGTGAGTTTCCTTTACCATCCCCTCCAAAGTTCAAGGAAAACCATGACATGAGTAGAAACTTTATTCTCCCTCTGTAGTCTTTATAACCCAGCTTCAATATGCCCGTCTGTCAAGTAGAAAACATGAAGTGATGTATTACAGTGCTGAACCGGATAAAGACCTGGCAGAAAATCCATCAAATGGAAAACAGTGGGCTTGCTGACAGTATACGGGCTTCTTTAAATGAATACGAAGCCAGACTCAGTGATCTTCGTGCTGCGCTGCAGGAGGCAGCTGCCCGAGCCAAGCAGGCAACTGGCTTGAACCAAGAGAACGAGAGAGCTTTGGGAGCCATCCAGGTGAGTTCACAGTTTGAAGCTGCACACTTTCGTTAATAAGGATGAGAGGAACAGGGATCTTTATTATGATTAAAGCGGCATAACCAGGCACCTGTCTGGACATCTGATTATAGCACCTCACACCCAGATCAGACAAGAATGAGGCATTAAGTGCAAATCCATAGTCGTTTCTACTCTTCAGCTACCAGAAAAGATTCTGAACTTAAACCACAGACAAAGCAGCGCAAACTGCTTCACCTGCATCTCTGGCTCAAAGAGTGGAGGAATAACATTGCCAAGTAGATGAGAAATTAATATTACTGTAATTAATTCAAATTATGTATTATGTTTTCAGTAATTCTTTTTTTGTGTCAGATACGTAAACATAATTATCATAATCACCCTAGCAAAGACATTTTAAGCCATTATCTGCTTTATAGGAAATAAGTTAAAGTACAGGCCACATACAGAAGCTGCTATGACAGAATTTAGAACTCTGGATTTTATAGTTCATGTATTTTTTTTGTATATATATTTTGTATATATATTTTATATATGCATAAAATAAATATATATGTATTTCATATATGTGTGTGTGTGTGTGTGTATATATATATATACGTGTATGTATATATACTCATATATATATACATATACGTGTATATATATACTCATATATATATATACACACACATACGTATATATATATATGTATATATATATACACATATATATATACACACACACACACACATATATGTGAAATACATATATATTTATTTTATGCATATATAAAATATATATATATATATTCTTTTTTTTGGCACCACCATACCTGGCTAATTTTTGTATTTTTAGTAGAGATGGGGTTGCACCATCTTGGCCAGGCTAGTCTCAAACTCCTGACCTCAGGTGATCCACCTGCCTCAGCCTCCCAAGTGCTGGGATTGTAGGCATGAGCCACTGCACCCGGCCTTATAGTTCATATTTTTCATAGTCAACATTGTATGCTAAAACAATAAGGTCAGGTGCAGTGGCTCATGCCTGTAATCCTAACACTTTGAGAGGCTGAGACAAGAGGATTGCTTGGGCCCAGGAATTTCAGACCAGCCTGGGCAATGCAGTGAGACCCCATCTCTACAAAATTTTTTTTAAAAATTAGCTGGGCGTGGTGGCATGCGCCTGTAGTCCCAGCTACTCTGGAGGCTGAGGTGGGAGGGATTGCTTGAACACACTGGTGGGTGGGGGGTAGGGCTGCAGGGAGCCATGATCAAGCCACTGCACTTTAGCCTGGACAGCAGAATGAGACCTGTCTCAAAAAATAAATAAATAAAAACAACAAAAATATGAAGGTTATATAAGTTATAAAATGACAGTAAAATCAAAGTTGAATAATATAGAGCAGACCTCAAAACAGGAGGAAGTTGGTAAATGAAAATAAATGATGTCTCCTGGGCCCAAGCAATCCTCTTGCCACGGCCTCTCAAAGTGTTAGGATTACAGGCATGAACCACTGCCCCGGCCTTATTGTTTTAGCATACAGTGTTCACTATTAAAAACACTAACTATAAGGCCAAGTACGGCGATTCACACCTGTAATCCCAGCACTTTGAGAGGCTGAGACGTAGCGGATGACCCTATGCTTAGCTCCCAAAGTCTCTTTGGATGGTACTATGTCTGTGTGAAGTCACTGATTATGCCAAGGGAAGGGAGCAGGACCTAACTTTCACAGGCCTCTGAACTCTGGCAGCCTTCCAGCCTGGCCTCTTCAGGTTCTGTGTAACCCCTCAGTCAAGTGTCTACTGTGTTCTCAGTGGTACTGGCTAATGGTCGATGATGGTTTACTTACCTGAAATCTTTTGGTCTGTTCTGCAAGCCAGATTTTGATAATATACCCATCTCATAGGGCAAGTTGACCCCCACTGTAGAAACCTTCTTCAGCAGTGATAGCAATTGTTTCATTGGCATCTCATTTAAGGAAACTATGATAATATACCTCTACTACAAAAAGAACTGATTTCCTATCACTTTGTAATTGCCTAGACAATGGTTAGGTTCAGGAAAGCATTCTGACTTTGAAATTACTTATATGATGTTGTCCCATAATTTGTCTGTGCCTTCTGAGAATATATCATGGAGCTCTAGCAGATTTTTTTTTAATTTTCTCCAGAGACAAATGAAAGAAATAAATTCCCTGCAGAATGATTTCACCAAGTATCTGGCCACTGCAGACTCATCTTTGTTGCAAACCAACATTGCACTGCAGCTGATGGAGAAAAGCCAGAAGGTAGAGGAAACTGTTGTTCTCTAGAAAAATCTAAAAACATTTTAATTATATTGCAAGAAGACAGTGAAATGAGCTGACCTACTTTTTTGTTTTATCAAAGTATAGTCTCTTGGATGGAAGAAAATATACTGAAATGTTAACAATAGTTCTCCCTTGCAAACGAAGTATGAATGACTTGTCTTCTTATGTTGATATGTAATAACTAGTTTGTCTGAAAGGAGCAAATCACTTTTGTGATAACAAAAAAATTATTATGCTATTTTTAAAACATCAAACATACCTTTATTAACAGAAGATATTTAAGACTTGATTAAAAACTGAAAAAATTTCTTAGCAGTTCAATGGGGATTTTGAAAGTACCTTTTATAATAACTATTTCTAAATTATAAAAAAGTCCTTTGGTTTACTATAACTGTATATTGATGACAACATTGTGCTTTTGTAAAGGTTACTAAAGGGTTTCTCACCATAATGAGAATGTTCGAGATAATGGTAAGCCTTGGGAAAATGCTCCCACTGCTACTGTCTGAAGTGATCAAGGATTAACAGCTGTGGTAAATAGACTTAGAAAATATAACGTCTCATTGTTGCCCCCACATCATTTATGACAGAGTTTGAGAAATCAGCATCTTCTCAAACATTCTTTCTTGAATTTATACTATCTTTGTTTACTTGGAAAAAATAGGAATATGAAAAATTAGCTGCCAGTTTAAATGAAGCAAGACAGGAACTAAGTGACAAAGTGGGAGAACTTTCCAGATCTGCTGGTCAAACATCCCTTGTGGAGAAGGCAGAAAAGCACGCGCAATCCTTACAAGAGCTGGCAAAGCAGCTGGAGGAGTAAGTGCAGGGCCCAGGAGACCTGAGGGGCACGTGGGCTGAGCACAGCAGCTTGTCCTGAGACAAGCGAGGAACTCCCATGGGGTGGCTGGGTCTCCAGAACCTGGAGGAGGGCAGAGGATGGGGTCAAGGCCAATACCCCAGGCTCAAGTCAGAAGCAGAGCAGCAATGAGGGCACTAATTCCTGGTTATGTCCTTTGGGCACAGCTACAGAGGCCGTCACCTCAGGTCTCCACTTGGCAAATGAAATGGGAAAGGGCTGGGCTCAAGTTGATGGCACCACTGCAGTCAAACCCGGGCAACAAAGAGATTCTGCCATCTCTTTATTTTGTATTTTTCCATATCTGAAAGAAAACAAAAAAAGAAAGAAAAAGAAGAAATAGGAAGGTTTGGGGGACGTCAGCTGCTGGTAGAGGAAGGCTGTGGGAGGTGCCTAACCCGCCCTGTCTTCCAGGATCAAGAGAAACACCAGTGGGGATGAGCTGGTGCGCTGCGCCGTGGAGGCCGCCACCGCCTATGAGAACATCCTCAACGCCATCAAAGCGGCTGAGGACGCGGCCAATAGGGCCGCCAGTGCATCCGAGTCTGCCCTCCAGGTGGGCACCTGTACCAGCAGCTTCTCTATATTCGCTGTGGAGATGGCTCATTTTTATATTTTCTTTCTGTGGGCTCCTAGAACGTGCTCTAGATATGGGTAATTTCTATATTTGACTATTTCATGTCTGTAGCACAGTTTTAAAACTATGAGTAAAACCAAATAGGAATTACACTGATCATCAGTTTTCAGCCTGAACGAATATTATATCCATATCTTACCAGGTATACTTTTATGCTGTGATTGTTAACCAAAAAGAGACACTTTTGCAAACAACTTGATCAGCATTTTCATCAGGTCATTTGGTCTTACATCTCAGTGTGTCTGTGGAGTCCTGTGGGATCTCATATGCACCATATGATATTTCCCATATCTGAAAATAAAGAGCAAAATATTAAATATCAGAGTTCAGGGGGACAGGCCTTCTTGAATGAGTGAAGACTTTTCTGTCCCAAAGCTTGAAAGCCTGAAAACAATTAAGTTCTCTCTTCTGTTATTGTAGGGGCTTTTGTACGAATGACAGTGAGCCGCTAAACCGTGTCACATAATTTGTCAGCATGCCCCCAGAGATAGGCCCACCTCCCCAAGCCACATAAGTCACATAGGTGTTAGGGCTACCTGGAACCCTAACTGTATCTTTTAGGGAACAATCTAGTTCTAACTCCTTTCCCCCTTTAACTTCATCCTTAAAATTAAGGGCTTCAGACTAGGATAGAAATCTGATATCATATTTCCTAACATATACTATTAAATGCTTTGCTTTCAGATAGTGATAAAGGAAGATCTGCCAAGAAGAGCTAAAACCCTGAGTTCCAACAGTGATAAACTGTTAAACGAAGCCAAGATAACACAGAAGAAGCTACAGCAAGGTATCGGGGGAGTGGTCGGTGGCAGGGATAGGCAGGAGCTTTAAATGACCTTGGGGACCAGGTGGAGCAGCCCTAGAATCAAATGCTATTTTTGAATCTCAGTGTCATTGCAGATGATACCTTTTATTTGTTTAATTTTGTAACTATTATTATTTGTAATAGAGATGGAGTCTCATTCTGTTGCCCAAGCTGGAGTGCAGTGGCACAATCCGAGCTCACTATAGCTTTGAACTCCTGGGCTTAAGCGATCCTCCCACCTCAGCCTCCCAAGTAACTGAGATTACAGGCATGCACCATCATGCCTAGCTAATTTTTGTATTTTTGTGGAGGCAAGGTCTTGCTATGTTGCCCAGGCTGGTCTCAAACTCCTGTCCTCACAGGATCCTCCTGTCTCAGCTTCCCAAAATGCTGGGATTACAAGTATGAGCCACCATGCTGGGCCCAGATAATATTTTTTAAATTCATGGTTTATTTATCAATTTTATGTATCCACCCAATATTGTAAATATCCCCCATCCTTCATATACAAAATTAACTAGAGCCTTATAAATAAATCTTTGAGTGCTAGGCCTATTTGGGTCTGGCCTTGGTAGGGAGGCTATTTTAATTTAATCCACATGTGATCATGGTATTGACAACCCACATATCAAGATCATTGGTTTGGGGTCATTAGGATAATTGCTTTAAAATTTTTTGTTTGTTTGTTTTGTTTTTGTTTGAGATGGAGTCTTGCTTTGTCACCCGGGCTGGAGTGCAGTGGCACAGTCTCAGCTCACTGCAACCTCTACCTCCTGGGTTCAAGCAATTCTTCTGCCTCAGCTTCCTGAGTAACTGGGACTACAGGGGCATACCACCATGCCTGGCTAGTTTTTGTGTGTTTAGTAGAGACAGAGTTTCACCTGTCTCAACTAAAAATACAAATTCAGATTTCCTGGTATGACGTCTGTTGCTCTACAAAATGTGAGCTTCAGGGGAGGCTCAGTGTGATAAATAGGGTTAGGGTGCTAACTATGTTGGTTGCTATGTAAACCAGTCTTGGAATCCTAATTGAAGCCATAACTCATCAAGACAGTCTTAAAGCATTTGGTGGCCATTTTCAATGACCCAAGGATGGCAAAATTATCAGCTAGGAATGTCTAGTAGCTCCCTTTCTTTCATGGAATTTAAAAAATATGTCACTTTGGAAATTAACAGAAACAGTGCCCACTTTGTATCTGTATTACCTGGATGAAGCTCTTTCAACAACACTCCTTTCTTGTCCTCTGATAGAAGAGGATCCTTTCTGCCACTCATCCGTTCACTCATATATTCATTCACTCAACAAACATGTGCTAATATTAAGCCTCAACTAGTGCCAGACACTACACTGTGTGCTAGGACATAGTAGTGGATAAGACAGATACATCTTTTACTAAACAGAGACTCTTACTCTAAGCAGATTAGAAGTTTAGCCCTCCCTAAATTATTCAGCCTCTCTCTCTTCCTGTGTATTTCCAAGGCGTTACCACAAGGTTCTGATTTGCTGCTGACCTCTGTAACTGGAGGATCCCAGAGCTGTGGGTCTAGGCACATGCAGTGGGCATGTCTGAGATGACCCCTGAGAAGCAAGTCTACTCAATGCTGTGCAGACATTGGCTGCTTCAGGGGCCACAAATACCAATGGAGGATCAAAATGCACAAAATAATTGCCTCTTGATAATTATTTTATTTTAGAAGTTAGTCCAGCTCTCAGCAACCTACAGCAAACCCTGAACGTTGTGACAGCTCAGAAAGAAGTGATAGACACCAATCTCACAAGTCTCCGAGATGGTCTTCATGGGATACAGAGAGGTTGGCATCTTCCTAACCCACTGTACTTGGTTGGCTTCTTTTGTTGAACGTTTTAGATACTTATACCTCCCTATTTTTGTGTGACTTAGGTGATACTGATGCTATGATCAGTATTGCAAAGAGCATGGTCAGAAAGGCCAGTGACATCACAGATGAGGTTCTGGATGGGCTCAACCCCATTCAGACAGATGTGGAGAGAATTAAGGACACCTATGGGAGCACACAGAACGAAGACTTCGAAAAGGCTCTGACTGATGCAGATAACTCAGGTATCGGGCATTCTTTGGCCAGGATATCTTAGCCATTTTCTCCATTGTTACATGTTTTGGTCCATTTCTGTTCTTCCCTGGCAAACTCTGATCTCAGAAACTAAAACATTAGAAAACAGTTCCACATGATATGTGATATATTCAAAGAGTGCAGATATTCTACCAGTTAGAAGGACCAGATGGGATTTTTAATTTTTAGAAAATACATTGAAAATGCTATTTGTTTTCTTTTTTACGAAGTGGAATTATAGGTTCTTAAACCCTGAAGCATTGACTTATGATTGATATTAAGAATCAGAAAACAAAGATTTTTTTTTTTTCTGTAGTGGTCAAAGAGAAGGACTTGATACCAAGATTGGAGAATACAATTCACCATGTACAGTAGTTTCTCCTTATCCTCAGGGGATGTGTTCCCAGACCCCTAATGGATGCATGAAACCACAGACAGTATCGAACCCTATATGTGCTATGATTTTTTTGGTCTGATAACCCAGACAGCTACGAAGTGACAAATGGGTGGGTAGGGTAGACAGCAAGGATATGCTGGAAAAAGGGAAGACTCACATGGGTGGGGCCATATGAGATTTCATCATGCTATTCCACATAGCACACAATTCAAAACTTAGGAATTGCTTATTTCTGGAATTTGTCTCTTTAATATTTTTGGACCATGGTTGACAGCAAGTACTTGAAACCTTGAGAAGTGAGCCCATGGGTAAGGGGGGAAATACTGTAACTGATTATGACCCATCCTAGTCAACACCTGGGGACCAAACATGCCACTTGACAAATACTGTCAGTAAGAACATTTGTAGTTAACCTTTTCCTAATGCACAGTTTTACTTTTCTGTTTTCAAATCTCACCAACAGTGAATAAGTTAACCAACAAACTACCTGATCTTTGGCGCAAGATTGAAAGTATCAACCAACAGCTGTTGCCCTTGGGAAACATCTCTGACAACATGGACAGAATACGAGAACTAATTCAGCAGGCCAGAGATGCTGCCAGTAAGGTGGGTGTGTCCCCATGTGGTCAGTGGCCAAGGCTAGTTCTTCGATGAGTTATCACATTCATCAAGAAAGAAAAAAACACTTATTTACTCAAGAATTGGTTGTCTTTCTTTCTGTAATTCTTTGCTTGCTTGAAATCTAAAGATTGATTTCCTCCTGTCATCCTTTAAAAGTATACATGATCTTCATCCCTTAAATTATCTGACGTATCAGGATCCTGAAGCAGCTTCCCTGCATTGAGTTTATTCAGGCAGAATGGAGAAATTTCTTCCAGGCCCCAGTTTGTAAACTGCAATTGTACATTCAAGTGAGGGTTCTGTGGTGGGAACGTGTCAGTGTGATACTACCGCACAGGACCTACCCTCCTACTGTAACTTGAAAGCTATAGAATTCATCTTTGCTGAGGATGGAGGATTTGAAATGACAGCAGTCTTCTGTCATTGGAATACTGATTCCCCAGCCTTTCTTGTTTTAACCTGACATTATTTGCTTGAATTACTGACACTCGTCTCTTAAGATTTATTTTGTCCTAAAATGTAAATAAAATTTCTTGTATTTTCCAGTAGCTCCTAGACAGCCCTATAGGAGAGTTTGGGAGAGAGTGGGTTGGAGAGCCTACTCAGAATGTCACTGCCCTGGAGGCATCATGCCCAATAGCCAGGCTCAGTGTTACTTCCTTTGAGCAACAGAGCCTGCCCTTTCTTCTAAGAAAGCACAGTATTCCCAACATAAAACCTTGAACAGGAAAGCAAAGAGCATAAGGCAAAGTTTGGAAGAAAGGACCCTCTTCATACCCATACCAGCTTCATAAAAAGCAAATGAATAAGAATGTATGCTAGCTTTTGCCCTTCTGTGTTCATTTACTGATATATCCAACAAAAATTTGAAGTGTCTTATAGCACAGTGGTTAACAGTTGTTTAACCGAGCCAGACTGCCTTGGTTTCAGTTCATGCTCTGCCTTTGATGAGCTGTGAGACCTGGGCCCTGTCCTTTTACCTCTCTGTGCCTCAGTTTCTTCATCTATAGAGCATAGAAAATAATAGTATCAACCTTATGAGATTGTTATGGTTGAATGAGCTAATGTGGAACAGTGCCTGGCAAATAGTAGGTACCATGTTATTGGAAAAATATAAAATAAAAAGCAATAAGTAGGTGCAATGCCTGGTTGTCACTGGCACTTCTTTAGGTGCTGAGGACACAGAAATTATTATTATTATTATTTATTTATTTATTTACTTATTTTATTGCATTTTAGGTTTGGGGGTACATGTGAAGAACATGCAAGATTGTTGCATAAGTACACACATGGCAGTATGATTTGCTGCCTTCCTCCCCTTCACCTATATCTGGCATTTCTCCCCATGCTATCTCTCCCCAACTCCCCACCTCCCACTGTCCCTCCCCCATTTCCCCCCAACAGACCCCATTGTGTAGTGCTCCCCTCCCTGGGACACAGAAATTATTAAGTCAGTTCTGAACTCAGGCTGCTCTCCAGCCACTGCAGGTGGTTTCTTAGACTGTGCTAACAAGCTGGATAGAGATGTGTTATGTGCATCTTTGAAAACCCCAGTTCTACCTGGAGAGGCTCAGAATAGCACTAACAAGTAGCACTAATAGACATGGATAAGAATGTTCATTGCAACTGGTTTATAATCACACCAAAATTTTTTTTTGAAAAAAGCCATGTTTACAACAGTAAACCTGAATGAACTGGAGCTGTGTGTATCACCATGAATAAATCTAAACACATAGTGCCCAGCAAAGAAAGCAAGTTGTAGATAAATGTGTACAGATGGATACCATTTATATAAAAATATTTCAAACATGAAAATAGGACTAATTACAGTTTCTAGATAAATGGATATTTAATTTAAAAATTATTAAAACATGCATGAAAATTTGCATGGGAATCCAGATCCAGAGCAGTGGTGACCCCTGAGAAGGGAGAGGGGGATGGGCGCCAATTCTGACAGTCATATTCCATTTCACGGTGATGCACATACAGGCATATTCTCCATGCCTTTTCTTAAATACAAGAAGTATCTTAGGCTGGGTACAGTGGCTCACGCCTATAATCCCAGCACTTTGGGAGGCCAAGGCGGGTGGATCAAGAGGTCAAGAGACTGAGACCATCCTGGTCAACATGATGAAACCCTGTCTCTACTAAAAATACAAAAATTAGCTGGGCATGGTGGCGCAGCCTGTAGTCCCAGCTACTCGGGAGGCTGAGGCAGGAGAATTGCTTGAACCCAGGAGGTGGAGGTTGCGGTGAGCCGAGGTCACGCCATTGCACTCCAGCCTGGGTAACAAGAGCGAAACTCCGTCTCAAAAAAAAAAAAAAAAAAAAGAAGTATCTTAATTTAAAAAAAATAAAGAATGAGTAGGAATTTGCCAGGTGACAAAGGCAAGAGGGAATGCCAGGCAGAGACTGAGAGACATAGTTCTGAAGGGCAGGGGGTGAGTAGGAGAGAGAGACATGAAATGAGCCTGTAAATGTGGGACTCCATCGCCAAGTCGCCTGATGTAATACCTTACATATACAAGATCCTCGATAAATATTTAAATGCTTGATAGAGAAAATGCAGACTAGATGTAAATCTTATTCTTTTGTATTATTCTTTCGATAGTTAGGAAATATTTATCTTCTTGGCCCACACACCAGCCCTAGTCATAGAACCTTTCTTACTGGTCCATTATATGTAAGTATAATGTTGAGAGTAAACGTTTGGAAGCTTTGAATAATTTGAATTGCCTCAATATGCAAGCATGTGATCAGTGGGCTTGTATTTTGTCTACCATCTTTTTTATTTTTCTAGTAATTTAAATTTGAATATGTTTTACGGAAGTATTTGTCCATGGCATATTAGAAAGAAAAAATGGTCCTTCGCCACAGAGAGCTTAAGAAGCACTATTTTAGAGAGCCTTAGTGCACTCACTCATTTTTCAGGACTGAATGCCTATAATAAATGAAACTGTAACGTGTAATATATCTAAGGAAATAGTTCCTTTAAAAGTGCATTTAAAATATTTTTCTATATATAACTATATATTTTATATATGCTGATATTTAACTATATATTATAATCATATATTTTATGCATATGTAGTATTATATAATTATATATTATGTAGGCTTTTATATATTAAATATATGCAAATTATATATTGCATATAATGTATATATAATTATATATTTATTTTAATATATTAAATTTATAAAATTATAATTATATTTCATTGTAATCTATTAAATATAGCTTATATATTTAATATATAATAAATGCATATATAATTATATGTAAATTATATATAAATATATACTTAAGTAAATATATTTTATATACTTAATATGCAAATATATATGTACCTAAAAATATCTATATATATTCCTATATATATGACAAGGCCTTGCTGTGTTCCCTAGTCTAGACTGGAGTCCAGTGGTGTGATCATGGCTCACTGCAGCCTGGAACTCCTGGGCTGAAGCGAGCCTCACATCTCAGCCTCCTGAGTAGTTGGGACTACAGGCATATGACACTACACCTGGCTTTTTCTCTTTTTTTCTTTTTTTGTTTTTTAGTAGGGATGAGGTCTCACCATGTTGTTCAGGCTGGCCTCAAACTCCTGAGCTCAAGCGATCCTCCCACCTCAGCCTCCCAAAGTGCTGGGATTACAGGTGTGAGCTACTGCACCTGGCTTAAAATATAGTTTGTTTGAGACGGAATCTCTCTCTGTAGCCAGGCTGGAGTGCAGTGGTGCCATCTCGGCTCACTACAACCTCTGCCTCCCGGGTTCAAATAATTCTCCTGCCTTAGCTTCCTGAGTAGCTGGGTCTACAGGTGCACACCACAACGCCCAGCTAATTTTTGTATTTTTAGTAGAGACGGGGTTTCACCATGTTGATGAGGATGGTCTCGATCTCTTGACCTCGTGATCTGCTCACCTCGGCCTTCCAAAGTGCTGGGATTACAGGCATGAGCCACCGCACCTGGCCAAAATATAGTTTTAATGTATTACATGTCTGATTGTATGCCAGGCGTCATGCCAAGTGCTTCTTCCGTAGTTGTTAGTTCATCTGCACAAAAACCTTGTAGGGTTGTAATTTGTATTATTGTCATTATCATTGTTATTATTACTGGCACAGGGGACTAAGTGCACTGCTCAAATATCCCTGACTAATAAAAAACACAAACGCCTTATGACGCAGCTCCTGAAGCTGCTTCATGAGTTTATAGTCTCATTTTGGAGATTTTGATCCAGGGCTTGGAGATATTCATGTTTTCTTGCTCCTTATCATAACAACTCAAGAAAGGCTGACACATGGCCAAGAGTCACAAACTAGCTCTCTGAGTGCACCTACTTTCTTCACAGGACGGTGTTTGACACCATGTAACTTACTCCTCACAGGTTGCTGTTCCCATGAGGTTCAATGGTAAATCTGGAGTCGAAGTCCGACTGCCAAATGACCTGGAAGATTTAAAAGGATACACATCTCTGTCCTTGTTTCTCCAAAGGCCCAACTCAAGAGAAAATGGGGGTACTGAGAATATGTTTGTGATGTACCTTGGAAATAAAGATGTAAGTATTGCTTGGACATCTCCCTTGCTTTTAAAACAATATTTTTTGAGATTTGTGCTTTTAAGATGTATGGCACAGCTGTGTCATTGCCATTAGCACAGCAGGTGGAAATCCTACTGAGACATCAACAAATCCTGCCAGCTTCCTCCCTGTTCAACTCCCCACTGTGGCAGTGCTCTCGAGGCACTTCCCATGCATCCTGGATTGTTGATTTCTGGAGGATTAAGAGGCCTTACCCAATAGGCCCAGCACATGGGCACATGTGTGTACATGTAAAAAACATAAGCCCCAGGGGCGGATGATTGGCACGCCTCCATACTACCAATTTATATGATTGACACCACACTACCAGGGATCAATATCAAGGCTTCATGGAAATTGACAGTATCTCCTCCTCACAGAATTGACCTTGTTCTTTTCCTCAGACCACCCAGCCACAGACCCTTCCTCAAGCCTGTGGGGTGGGGAGATCATGGGTGAGGACTGGAGTGGAATGAAGCCTCTGTCTCCTGCCTAAATGATAAGAAAAGCAGTTGCCCCATCTCTTTATCAGTGTAAATTCATTTACTACTTAGTGTAAATTCACTACCCTTACAGCCATTTTGAATGGTTGGTTTTAGCTTTTAATCCCTCCTTTTAAAATACATTTCTTTGACTAAGTATCAGAGGAAAAGCTAATCATTCACTGGGTTAGGATTCGGTTGTTGGAAGAGAAACACTTGAAATACAGTTCTCAAAAATTCTGCCCAGTTGGGAAATTGTATTTAAAGATTCCTAAAATCAACACTATTGCTAATTACTCTTCCATACTTCAAGAGGTTGGCATTTTATTTGCAGCTTTCTTATGTCATGATGTTTTGCTTTGTTTCGTGATAAAATGCACATTGCTTTATCCCTTCAACAAATGTATACCAGATACCTACTATGTGTCACATTCTGGCTTTGTGATAAACCAAAATTTATTTCTTGAATGTGCTTAATGCCAATGCACACTTAACATGGTTAAAATGGCAAGTTCTATGAATATTTTGCCACGATTTTAAAACATTTTGTTTCTACCTTAAGGTGCTCACATTCTATCAGGGAAGAAAGATGCATATGTAACTGATCATGATAACATAGAGGCGTGACAACAGAGACATGCACAAAGTGTTCGGAGGATGTTGTGTGGTACTGGGAGAAGCAAAATGGCTTATCTCCCTTACCAGACTGAAATCTGATGGATGCCTGAGTCCATATCTGGGCCCTCTGTATGGTAGCTGCTTGGCACGTATTTGTAGCTTGAGCGAATGGGGGAATGAATAAATGAGGGTACTATAACATGAGCAGAGACAGCTCTCGCATTATTAACTCAGCGCTCTGTATTATTCTATAAAAGGTTGCACTTTATTCTGTCTGCTCAAGGCTTATTGCCTACAACTGTTAGTTATTTGAAATGCATCCTCATCCTCTTGAGATGGGAAATTGAGAAACCACAGTGTGAAGTGTTCTGAGGTGGCCCTTCTGTCTCCAGGCCTCCCAGGACTACATCGGTATGGCAGTTATGAATGGCCAGCTTACCTGTGTCTACAACTTGGGGAACCGTGAGGCTGAACTCCAAGTGGACCAGATCTTGACTGAGAGCGAGACTCAGGAGGCAGTTATGGATCGGGTGAAATTTCAGAGGTACAAGGCTGATTGCTGCTCTTTGTGAACCTGACCTGTGCTCACCAAACTTCCATGTATACATGTTGCTGAACACCATTTTTAGTGTCTTGGCTTTGAATTCTTTATTTTTTTATATAACTTTATTATCCAAATTCATTTTAAACAGAATTTATCAGTTTGCAAGGCTGAATTACACCAAAGGCGCCACATCCAGTAAACCAGAAGCACCCGGAGTCTATGACATGGATGGTAGAAATAGTAATACACTCCTTAATTTGGATCCTGAAAATGTTGTATTTTATGTTGGAGGTTACCCACCTGATTTTAAAGTAAGTGTAAATGTTATTTCACTGAATGAAATATTTAAATTTTAATTTGGGATCATGATGACCTCATGTCTCTTTTAATTATTAATTACAAATAAAATGGATTTAACTGTGCATTCTTACAGCACATTCTAGCAATAATAGCTAACACTTGTTGAATACTCCCTCTGTGCACTGTTCTAAGTTTAAGTGTGTTAATTTAAATAAGCATCATGATCATTCTCATTTAGCAGATGAGGAAACAGACAGAGAGGTGTAATAACTTTCCCATAGACATACAGTTAGTAAATAGCAAAGCTAGGGCATCTTGCTCCAGGGTTCATATTCTTAATTAACACTTATAGTGACTGTTGAAAGTGATAAATTTATACTATTTTGACTGCTGTCCTTTGTTCAATTGGTGGAAGATATTTTATTTCATTTTCAGCTTCCTAGTCGACTAAATTTCCCTCCATACAAAGGTTGTATTGAATTAGATGACCTCAATGAAAATGTTCTAAGCTTGTACAACTTCAAAAAAACGTTCAATCTCAACACAACTGAAGTGGAACCTTGTAGAAGGTAAATACAACATAGAAACCAGAAACTCTGTAACTGGAGTTTTGGTAACTTGCAATACTTTTACATGTGATAAAGGATGGGCCAGTGAGGTGCTATTGATGTTGCTAGTTGCTTGGGCCAGTGGTTCTTCAGGTATGTGTGCATGCAACACTGGCAGTCCAGCCCTAAAATCTAATTATGGTAGTCTCTTCCTAATTCGTACAAAATGCTAGATTGATAGAGTTTTCTCACTTAAAAAAAGTCTTTATGAAAAATGTTGTGCCTCCTACCACAAAATATTTAATATTAGATGATACCTGTTTTATAGGCCTGATTTAGTGGCTCTTGCCTGTAATCCCGGCACTTTGGAAGGCCAAGGCAAGCAGATCACTTGAGGCCAGGAGTTTGAGACCGGCCTGGCCAACATGGCAAAAATCCATCTCTACTAAAAATACAAAAATTAGCTGGGTGTGATGGCGCATGTAGCCCAGCCTCTTGGGAGGCTAAGGCACAGGAATCACTTGAACTCTCGAGGTCAAGGTTGCAGTGAGACAAGATCATGCCACTGCACTCCAGCCTAGCCTGGGTTACAGAGCAAGACTCTGTCTCAAACAAATTAAAAATAAAAGGAAAAAAAATGGTACCAGATTTAGGCACAAAATTATATATTTACTGTAAATTTTTTTAAAAGTGATTCACAAAATGTTCCATTACTTCGTTGGTACTATTCTACCTCAATCTTTTTGAAAATTGCTGCCTTGAACTCCTAACCTTCCCTACAGTTATAGGACATGGTATATTCTAATATGAGGTAGACTGAATATTTATTAATGAGAACAGAATTACATGGCAAGTTAATAATCTTTAACATTTCAAGATCTTCAGCTGGTAGACCACATCTTCCTAAGCAGACATTTCCAAAAGGGACTCTTACTCATCTTTGTTGAGCTAGGACATGATCGTCAGAGTATGAGAGCACATCCGAGAGAAAAAGCTGGCTGCTTTAACATTTTAAAGATGCCTCCTCTGCTTTAACAAATTTATGACAACTAGATTGCATTTCCTTTGCTCCATTTTTCAGACGGCAGCATGTCGTATTAATAAGCACACTGACATGGTAATCCTTTGTTGCTGTATTCTAACTTATGATGATTAATGTTGACAGGAGGAAGGAAGAGTCAGACAAAAATTATTTTGAAGGTACAGGCTATGCTCGAGTTCCAACTCAACCACATGCTCCCATCCCAACCTTTGGACAGACAATTCAGACCACCGTGGATAGAGGCTTGCTATTCTTCGCAGAAAACCAGGTAATCTATAACAAGTAACCGGATACAACCAAATATATTCATTCCGTTTAGCACTTTGGAGATAACTGGGTTGTTACAAACAACCCATCAGATCTGGAAAAAAAACGTGCAAATGTTACCTGCATCCTTTCCCTCCACCCAGTTTTACTTTGTTGGCTGGGAAGTGTACATGTTTTTAACTTTTTTAGTTTCAGGGGTACATGTGCAGGGTTGTTGTATAGGTAAATCGCATGTCACAGAGTTTGGTGTACAGATTATTTTATCAGCCAGGTCATAAGCCTAGTACTCAATAGGTAGTTTTTCTGTTCTTAAAAAATACTTCTGCCCTCAAGTAGGCCCCTTCTTTGCATCCATGTGTACTCAATGTTTAACTCTCACTTATAAATGAGAACATGTGGTATTTGCTTTTCTGTTCCTATGTTTGTTCTCTTAGGATTATGGCCTCCGGCTTCATCCATGTTGCTGCAAAGGACATGATCTCTTCTTTTTTATGGCTATGTAGTATTCCATGGTGTATATGCACCTCATTTTCTGTATCCAGTTTACCATTTATGGGCATTTAGGTTGACTCCATGTCTTTGCTGTGGTGAATAGTGCTGCAAATAACATTCACGTGCATTTGTCTTTATGGTAGAATGATTTATATTCCTTTGGGTGTATACCCAATAATGGGATTGCTGGATCAAATGGTAGTTCTAAGTTCTTTGAGAAATTGACAAACTGCTTTCCACAGTGGTTGAACTAATTTACATTCCCACCAGCAGTGTATAAGCATTCCCTTTTTTTCCACAACCTTGCCAGCATCTGTCATTTTTTGACTTTTTAATGATTGCCTTTTTGACTGGTATGAGATGGATTCTTATTGTTTTGATTTGCATTCCTTTAATCATTCGTGATATTGAGCATTTTTTCATATGCTTGCTGGCAGCATATATGTCTTCTGAAAAGTCTGTCCTTTGTCCGTTTTTAATGGGGTGGTTTGGTTTTTTCTTGTTAATTGTTCAAGTTCTATATAGATTCTGGATATTAGACTTTTTTCATATGCATAGTTTGTAAATATTTTCTTCCTTTCTGTGGGTTGTCTCTTTACTCTGCTGAAAGTTTACTCTGTTGATAGTTTCTTTCATTGTACAGAGCGCTTTAATTAGGTTCTATTTGTCAATTTTTGTTTTTGTTGCAATTGCTTTTGGGGTCTTCATCATGAAATATTTGCAAAGGATGGTATTTCTAGGCATTTCTATGTCTAGAATAGGTTTTCTTCAAGGGTTTTTTTAATATATATATAGTTTTAGGTTTTACATTTACAATTTTTTGCTGTTTTTTTCATTGGTTTTTTGAGACGGAGTCTCCCTCTGTCTTCAGGCTGGAGTGCAGTGGCACGATTTCAGCTCACTGCAACCTCCACCTCCCGGGTTCAAATACTTATCGTGTCTCAGCCTCCTAAGTAGCTGGGATTACAGGCTCGTGCCACCACACCCAGCTAATGTTTGTATTTTTAGTAGAAATGGGGTTTCACCATGTTGGCCAGGCTGGCCTAGATCTTCTGACCTCATGATCTGCCCGCCTTGGCCTCCCAAAGTGCTAGGATTACAAGCATGAGCCACCACGCCTGGCCTGCATTTTAAGTTTTTAATAAATCTTGAGTTGATTTTTACATATGGTGAAAGGAAAGGGTCCAGTTTCAATCTTCTGCATATGACTAGCCAGTTATCCCAGAATCATTTATTCAATGGGGAGTCCTTTCCCCATTGTTTGTTTTTGTTGACTTTGTCGAAGATCAGATGGTTGTAGGTGTGTGGCTTTATCTCTGGGCTCTCTATTCCGTTCCATTAATGTGCATTTTAATGAGGGCAAGTAATCAGGAATTTGAGAACGCGCCACCAAAATATGGGCAAAATGTCCTCTTTTCCTGTTCTAGTCTCATTATCACTTTTGTTCTTTGAGAACCACTGCTTGCCTAAGAATCTGCTTATTCTGACTCAAAACACGTGAAGGCCCCCTGGGATCTCTAAGATCTAGACTGACTTCCTGCTGTTTCCATCTTGGTCTGACTCTTACCAGGCTGTGTGGGATTATGTCTTTATCAGCATGTTTGCCTTCTCAAGACACTGAAGCTTCTCTGTTTTCAAGTAGTTGAGGGACCTTCTAAAATTTATTAGGTTGGAAAGTCCAAAGTGACACTCTACAAGTGATCATCAGCGCCATCTGCTGGTTGATGGAGAGTTGGCGTCATGTTTGCTGCTCTATACCTGCAGTGGGCCTGAAGTTGGAACACTCCAGTGAGGAGGAGCTTCTGCAGTTGCTCTCACAGGGAGTATTTCTGAAGAAATGTGGATGAGCCCAAAGGCTTTCTGGTGGTCCAAGAACATGGGATAGATAAAGAGTCTGGGATTTTACCAGAGCCTTCTACCTGCAGGGCGGGAACACTGACCTGGTCCAACTCTCCTCTCTGGCATTGGTCTGGACCCTTCAGGAGATTCCAAGACTGAACCAGTTCTGATGGCTTAGGAAGGTCCTAACCAACCTGAAGGATACACAGAGCTGAGAGGTCATCCAGCATCTTCAGGACAAGGCAGTTGTTATGCAAAACAAGGTCTTTGTAGTGTAATTTGAAGTTTTTGGAGACTAAGAACCAGAAATACTACTCATATAATAAGAAAACTTACATAATCTCATTACATAAGAAACAATCAAGAGAGCTGCTTTAAGTAGGATGGCTCATGACTCTCAGTAAATTGGTGTCACTCTGCTGTTTATGAGTTGATCAACCTAAGCGGACTCCCAAAGGTTTAGGATCCAGATAAGGACTGATTTTCCTCTTAGAAAAGGACTCTGTCCCTGGACTTCAAAGAGAGGCATTCTTATCATTAAGGAACTGTGTAAAAGCAAAGCCTTCAAGCCCTAAGTCAGAAATTGCTCAGCTTATTTTTCCACTAGGGAAGTAGCTGATTCAAGTGTACGTTTTACACCGTGATGGAGATGCAATAATGACCAAGACAGATATGGCTCCCACCCTCCAGGACTTTATATTCTAGAGGGGAAGAATATGCAAAAGAATGCTGTTAATAGGTTATTTCATCGCAGTTGTGAAGAGCTGTATCAAGGAAAAGTTTGCGTGAAATGAGGATGTACAACATAAAGACACTTGAGCAAAGGAAGTGCCTCCTCCGAGATCAGGAGGACCAGGGAAGACATTTGAATGTGACAGGGGGACAGGGAAGACAGGGTATCCAGGAAGAGGGAGAGGTACAAAGAAGGCCTGGAGGTGGGAAGGGCAGGGGGCATCAGCGAAACAGTCTCTGCGGAGCTGGAGAGCTGGAGGCAATGCTGAGAAAGAAGCAGATGCCACACAGCATCTGGTAGCGGTCAGGGCTTCATCCTGACAGCCAAGGAGAGTCACAGGCTCTCACTGGCATTTTCAAAGACTGCTCTGGCTGTAGAGGGGAATGGACTTCCGGGGGGACACAGGGAGACCAGCAGGTTGTTACTGTAGGGTCTGGCTAAAGACGTTGTGGCTGAGACTAGGTGGGATAACATGGAGAGAGAGAATTAAGAATGGCAGAATTCACAAGATTAGATTAGATGGGAGAGAGGGAAGGATCAAGAATGATTCCTAGGTTCTGATAAAGGGGTGAGAAAGAAAAAAATGTCTCCTAGGTTTGTGGCTTGGTGATGTGTGTGCGCATGCTGCACACGTGCATGCGGGGGGCAGGCTGGGAGGGAGGGACCCCATGTACCTGGTGGAAAGAAAGGAGAGGCAGGCTTGGCAGGCTGTGGGAGGCATGTAGGTCATATGTTCTGTTTGAGATATTCTGAATTTGAGGTCTCTGTGAGTCATACAAGCAAAGCAGTAACAACAAGGGAATCAGATGTGCAGACCTGGCCCTGAAGACAGATCTAGGCTGGGGAGAACAATTGGGGCCTGTGGGTACACCTGAATTGGAGCTACAGGGGTGACTGTGATTGTCAAGGCAGAGGGAGTTGTGTGGGGAGGAAAGGAGTCCTATGTGGGATCCCCAAGAAACCCCCAACGCTGACAGGAAAGGTACAAGGGGATAAACCAACAAATGAGACAGAGACATAGGAATCAGTCAGAAAACAGACGGTAGAAGGTATCTGAGGTCTGTATAAGACCATACCTCTCTCTAAAAGGCACTCATATTTTCAAATAATATTAATGATCTGTATCTTTTCAGTCTCCATGTTGACAAGCCAGTTATGGATCATACAAAACAAAATCATGATCATAGCTAGCATTATTGTGTCCGTCCTGTGTGCCAGTCACTGTGCATGATGTTTAACATGACTTACAGTATTGAACCATCATCCCATCCCGTGAGGTGGCTGGTTGCAGCATTATCCCTCTTCACTAAGGCAGCAGCTGAAGCTGAGAGCAGGGGGTTCTGGGAGAGTAACTTGAGTTCCAATGCGCTACCTCTTCAGCCAAGTCTTCCAGTAATCTGCATTGTTCCCCTGCCCTAGGATCACTTCATATCTCTAAATATAGAAGATGGAAAGCTCATGGTGAGATACAAACTGAATTCAGAGCCACCAAAAGAAAGAGGAGTTGGAGACATCATAAACAACGGGAGAGATCATTCGGTACATTCTTTGAGTCTGTTTACTTGAATTGTCAAATGTCCCTAGTCCTTTAAAATTAAACCAATGCCCCAAAATAAATAAATAAAACTCTTTCCATTACCAGATAAACTTATGGATATTAACTGAGGGATATATCCTTTTAAAATTTGTACAGTTAGGCATGAAACATATAACATATACACGGCATCTATAAAACGTGGTTAACGTTAAATGCAAACATTTCTATTAAAATGTTTTACTATCATATTTTTATCCAAAAATTCTACTGCTCAGCATCTTCCTACTAGGTATATAAATGAATCTGAAGGAAGATAAATAAAAGCATAATCGTTCTGAACCCCTGTGAATAGGATTCTCCTATTTCCCCTGGTTTGCTGATTCACCTCTCATTTATTTCAGATTCAGATCAAAATTGGAAAACTCCAAAGGCGTATGTGGATAAATGTAGACTCTCAAAACACTATAATTGATGGTGAAGTATTTGATTTCAGCACATATTATCTGGGAGGAATTCCAATTGCAATCAGGGAAAGGTAAGATGATTTTTTAAAAACCAGATTGCCTCTGTTAGGGGTTATGATTGTGACCAAAATCATCTAGTCTGCCTTTTCTAATTCCGGCAACAAACAAACACAAAAGTTAACTTTGCCATATTAACAGTATAGTCAACAGAGTAAAACAGATTTAAGTCCTGAATAATGAGACTGGTACCTGGAAAGAAGGAAGGTGGGGGAACTGTGTGTCACCGCCATTGTCATTTTCGGGAGGAGAGAGACCGCAAAGAATATAGTTGGTTGACAATGCTGGCAACAAGCAGAACAGAGGCCCAGGCCCTTGAAGGCTGTACAGGAGAGCGTGGGCATCCCAGGGCCTAATGGGCATCCCCAGGGAAGTGAAAGCTGAGGTTGTCACCTTCAGGAAGTCTCTGGAAGAACGTGAGAATGGAAGAATGTCTCCTTCACTTCTGCATCACCTGCTCCTTCCGTGCTATGGAGCATGGAATTGGTACATAACTTTCTTGGATGAATGAACACATGAATGAATTTAATATGAAAAGCAGTAAAGCTTCATCTGAATGGGAAAAATCCCACAATTTTGGAATGCACTTAAAAATAACTTTTACATTTTGTTCATTTGCATCCTCCTGGAAGGCTTGTAGATAGCTGATGATAGTGTGTGGACAGAATATATCCTGGAAGGATTAGTGCAGTCGCACCACTAAGTAAGATACTCCCAGAAGGTTGGGTTATGATTACTTTTATATGAGATCTGAAGCTAGTTAACTGTTTTGCTAACTTATGTATCAATTGGAAGAAACACTAGATGTGATTTATGAGGTGTCATGCCAAGGTATTCTTTCTTCTAGAGTCCTTATACATGTGGGCATCTGTCCATCCTGCGTAGGCAGGCACTAATCTTTGTTTTAAAGTTGTCAGGGTTGCCTCCAAAGACAAAAGTGCAAATGGGAAAGCTGGGCACTTTGATAGAGCCTTGTGGGTGAACTTCTTTACTCCTTAGGTTCTGGAAGGAGCTTAGGAGATCATTGTATGTAACCCCTGAGTATTACAAATGAAGAAATTCAGAGCCAGTGAGATGATATTAATATTTAATATTATCAATATTGAATAGTGATTCGGCCATGAATGGCTAGTTATAAATTGTCAGTAATCTTGATTTTATTCCATGAAATGGAATAAAATTAAGTCATTTAAGGTAGTCAGCTTTCTTGAGTAGTTTTGAGTATGTTTGAGAGTGACCACTTATTCATTACACAGCATTTATTGAATGCCTAGAGGGCATCAGGCAGAGTGACAGGTGCCAAGAAGACAACAATGAGCAGGGTGGAGCCTGGAGAAGAGCAGAAGAGAGACAGTCACTACAGGAGAACGTGAGGCGTGTCATAGAGGGAAGCTCGGGGTGCTGACAGAGTGCAGGAGAGAACCTAATCCAATTGGGGCCATCAGGAAAGTGACCTCCAGTTAGGACTTAAGAGGTGCAGCAGTCAGTGTATGTGAAGCACTAAATCTGGAGAGAGAAAGCATGAACTTGCAAAGAGCTGGAGTACAGCAGGAAGCGGGGCACGGATGCCCCTTGGGGCTGATGTAGGCAGCAGGGGCCTGACTGCAGAGTACCTTGAAAGTCACAGTGAGGAGCCATTGGAGGGACTTCAGCAGAGAAAGGCCATGACCGAATTTGAGTTTTCAGTAGTCACTCCAGTGCAGGGCAGAGACTGGATTGGAGAAGGACAGGGCAGAGGCAGGCAGAGTGGCGGGAGGCTGAGTGTATTAACAGAGGTGAGTGATGAGGGTGACCTGGCCCAAGGAATGGCTGTGCCAGTGAGCAAAAGGGAGCAGATGCCAAATATATTTAGGATGGCGAATGGGCAGCACGGCACAGTGGCTTGGGTTGGGGAATAAAGGGGGAAAAGCAGTGAAGAATGATGCCTGGTTTTTGGCCAAGCCCTTGGCAGATGGAACACACCAATGGAGGAGTGGGGTAATGAGTTAAGTCTGAGACAGGCTTAGTCCGGGATCCCAAGACACAGCCAGGTGGAATGCCCACAAGCAGGTGCACAAAATGCCCTGGGCCTCCAAAAAGGAGGCCAGTCTGGAGAAGGGTAAATGAAGCTCAGGGCCAGCTAGTCACTGAGGTGGTGGAAGCCAGTGGGCCCACCCAGAGCCAGAAGGAATTCTCCAGCTGAGGCAATAAGGAACCCATTGGTGGGTGGTTTGTGTTTGCATGTTATTAACACAAGGCCCCTAGAGAGCAATGTGGATGCCAGTCCATCCAGGTTTTCTAGAAAAGGGCAGTGGGTAGAACCACAAAAGAGGTGGGTGGTTTTAGTTTTGACTCAGCAAAACTTTGGGTTAAGTCAGCATTCAACCTTTATTTGCCTTTTCCTCTCTATCCATTAAAGAAATATATAGATATAGAGATGCATATATATAGATAATTTGCTTTTTAAAAATAATTTTTTGTAGCCATGAGGTCTTGCTGTGTTGCCCAGGCTGGTCTCAAACTCCTAGCCTCAAGTGATCCTCCCACCCCCAGTGTTCTAGGGTTATAGGCATGAGCCACTATACCCAGCCCAGAATTTTCTTTCTTTTTTTGAAACAGAGTCTCACTCTGTCACCTAGGTTGGAGTGCAGTGGTGCCATCTCACTCTGCCTCCTAGTTTCAAATAATTCTCCTGCCTCGGCCTCCTGAGTAGCTGGGATCACAGGTGTGTGCATGCCTGGCTAATTTTGGTATTTTTAGCAGAGACGGGGTTTCCCCATGTAGGCCAGGCTGGTCTCAAACTCCTGAGTTCAGGGAGTCCACCCAGCTCTGCCTCCCAATACGCTGTGATTACAGGCATGAACCGCTGTGCCTGGCCCAGAATTTTCTTAATAACTTATTTTGGGATCCTCCAAACAAGGAACTGCTTTTTTTTTTTTTTTTTTTTTTTCTGAACAAGTTTATACTTTCACTTGTTTTGTTTTGAGATGGAGTTTCGCTCTTGTTGCCCAGGCTGGAATGCAATGGTGTGATCTCAGCTCACTGCAACCTTTGCCTCCCAGGTTCAAGTGATTCTCCTGCCTCAGCCTCCTGAATAGCAGGGATTACAGGTGCCTGCCACCATACCCAGCTAATTTTGTATTTTTAGTAGAGATGGGGTTTCATCATGTTGGTGAGGCTGGTCTCAAACTCTGACCTCAGGTGATCCACCTGCCTCGGCCTCCCAAAGTGCTGAGAGTACAGGCGTGAGCCACCGTGCCTGGCCTATACTTTGACTTTTTATTAAAATCACCGGAACATAGCAAATGTAGGAGATAGAAGCCAGTCAAAAGATTTCACTGGCCTTTCATTCCAGTGAAGCAAAATGCTAAGGAATAGTCAGCTGTTCCAGGCCTTGCCTCATCCCTCTGGCGAAGTCTTTGGTGGCCCAGAGATTTCTGAAACTGCCATTGGACATGAGCCACTGGGAAGTGGGGTGGGCACAGAGGAGTTCTATGGATAACCCACAGCCAGGCTCTGTAGGGGGCAACCAGCCAACTCTTCCAGAGCAGGGAGGTGTTCTGATCCCTCGCCTAAGTGGAGGGCCCTTAGAGAAAAAGTGCTCAAACCTCACGTGGAGTAAAGCAAGCAAGTGCAGTCACCAAATCAGCTTTGCTCAAGGGATTTTGCACGTGTTTTGTTTTTTCCCCAACTCGTTATAGTGTTTCTTCTGAGAATGGGGACCCAGATCTTGGAATGGCTTGTTTCTGATTATAATCAGAAATCAGTCTGCTAATCCCATCTCCTTCCCAGGAGAAGAGCAAATCTGGGACTGCAGGTCCTCACCAGCATGCCCAGCTGATGTTTGTATTTTTAGTAGAGTCGGAGTTTCACCGTGTTGACTAGGCTGGTCTCAAACACCTGAACTTAAGTGATCCACCTGCCTTGGCCTCCCAAAGTGCTGGGATTACAAGCGTGAGATATCCCACCTGGCCGTTAATTTGTTTAATCCTCTCAATAACTTCTTGCCCAGTTCCCACCGATAGGAAGTGGTGGATACAGCAGCTTCTGAACCCAGACAATGTGTTCCATTGTTTCAGCTTGGCATTGGTTAAATCAAACTACAAGTTTCATCATTGAATAGAACCAAAAAGTTTTTCTTCTGACTTTACAGTGGCTAATTTAACAGTGAACAGAAAAAAAAGAGAGCAAAAACTTTTCTAGAGCATTCCTGGTTCTTATAAACTATTATTTTATTAATATCTGTGTATATATCACCTATGAACTTATTAAAACATGTCCTAGCCACTGTGCAATGCCAATGGCTCCAGGGAGGGAGACAGGCAGTTATTGTGCATCTTCTCTGCCTCTGTACCTTTTGCGGCCACTGGCCATTCTTCTGTTACCATTGTTGTCTGTATTTTTAAAGCTGAGAATGCAAACTTACACTGAAAGGAAGTCAGTTCTCCCAGCATCATAAAATAAATAGCATTATAGGAATCCCATGGCAAACAATAAACATAAGACACATACTCGTTGATGGGTGAAAACTACTAACGAGCACAGCATTTCAGCTCTGATTTTGCGTGAGCCTGGCACGATCCATCTTTTCCTTTTGTTTGTGTTGCTAATCAGATTTAACATTTCTACGCCTGCTTTCCGTGGCTGCATGAAAAATCTGAAGAAAACCAGTGGTGTCGTTAGATTGAATGATACTGTGGGAGTAACCAAAAAGTGCTCAGAAGACTGGAAGGTAAGTGAAGGTTCAGAATCTCATGAAGGAGTGCTTCCCAGCCAACCCACCTTCTGTATCCATTAACACAGCAACTTTTGACTTCTGGTAGCACACAGTGTTAGAGTGAACTGGCTCGTATACATTCCCCACGTACTTGCAAGGTGCTGAACCTTTCCAGGTTTGCACATTAAATTTTAGGAAAGTAGAAATACCAACTATATACACAAAAACTTACAGATGATTGGTGACTTATGCAGAAAAGTGTGCTCTTTCTTTCTGAGGCTGCATAAATCACATTAATCAGTTTGGGTAAAGTGAGATAGGGTAAGATACTGTCTTTCAGCCAAGAAATGATTACAATGCTAGTAATTTATTCTACGTTTGCATTTCAGCTTGTGCGATCTGCCTCCTTCTCCAGAGGCGGACAATTGAGTTTCGTTAATTTGGGCTTACCGCTTACGGACCACCTCCAGGCCTCATTTGGATTTCAGACCTTTCAACCCAGCGGCATGTTATTAAATCATCAGACACGGGTATGCAATAGTGCATTAATATCAAACAAGATTTAAACCTGACTCAAAGTTTGATGTTGAAAGCAACAGGGAGATTTTGAAAGTAGTGGTGTTGGACATTTTTTCTATCATCACACAGTAAATGCTGTTGTATAGTTCAACCATGAACATTATTTCACTCTCTGGGGTAGGTTCTAAAAAAAAATCAGGTTTAGAAAGTAACATTATAAGCTGGGTGCAATGGCTCACGCCTGTAATCCCAGCACTTTGGGAGGCCAAGGTGGGCAGATCACGAGGTCAAGAGATCAAGATCATCCTGTTAACATTGTGAAACCCCATCTCTACTAAAAATACAAAAATTAGCAGAGCGTGGTGGCACGTGCCTGTAATCTCAGGTACTTGGGAGGCTGAGGCAGGAGAATCACTTGAATCTGGGAGGCAGAGGTTGCAGTGAGCCGAGATCACGCCGCTGCATTCCAGCCTGATGACAGAGCGAGACTCTGTCTCAAAAAAAAAAAAAAAAAAATTATAATTTACAGAGTTGTATTTGTGTGTATTCATGGACTCATTTTTATTCTTTTTAGGTATATCTTATAATAAGAGTTAAGGTGGATTATAATTACTGTGGTTAATAATTTAGCTTAAAGTTTCAGAACTAAGAAAGAAAATTAGAGTGTTTCCCTGTGATTCTGTTTGGACTGCACGGAAGCTAGCTCTCCAGATTGTCTTTTTGCAGCAGCAGCTAGTTGGACAATATTTACACCTGGGGAGCTGGAGAAAACAAGATCCTTTGTCCTTTCCTCATATACAACAGAGCCACATAAATTCTCTTCTACAAGGTGATACCGTCTATAACTTCAGCAGATTTAGCTAGTGTGGTTCTGTATACCTGCTTAAGTTATGGATGGTATCTTAAGTTATAGACTGAAATCTCACCAAAGAATCACACATCTTGTTGAAAACTGCAGAAATTATACTTAGCAGAAAGAAACAGGAACAAAATTGAAATGGCAAATGCTGAGGTTGCACATTTTTAAAATTAATGATTGACAGAAAGAGTCAAATTATCTTGCCAAAATTTAAATCTTCAGAGTTTGACGTGGAGAATTGGACATACCAGAAATAATGACTAGGAAATAAAAAATTTATAATGACAGAAGAGAAGAAATCATTGTAATATTCTTATATTAGAAATTGAGGAATTAGGTCTTTACCATAAAATTTATTCAGTAAGAAAGTAGTCCTGATAGAAATAACTTCAGCAAAATAAAAATAGAAAAATTTAGGCTGAGTATGATGGCTCACACCTGTAATCCCAGCACCTTGGGCGGCCAGGGCAGGGGTATCTCTTAAGCTCAGAGGCCTGAGACCAGCCTAGGAAACATAGTGAGATCCTGTCTCTACAAAAAATTATGAACTTAGCTGGCTGTGGTGATGTGCGCCTGTGGTCTCAGCTACTCAGGAGGCTGAGGTGGGAGGATCGCTTGAACATGGGAGGGTGCCACTGTTCTCTAGCTTACGCAAGAGAGCAAGACTCTTTCTCAAATAAAGATAATAAGAAGATAAAACAGAAAAATTTAGAAATGGTTTAACTGTTTTGTATAGTCAATTGAGAAATTAAATTGGCTTAAAGAATGTAGGCCCAAAAAATTATTTTGACAAATTCATCAGTGTGGATATAATTTGCATAGGATTTTCATATTTATAAACATGGAGTCAAATATGCAAAAAATAAAATCTTTAGAGCACAAAGCAAAGTCAAAGCATTTGGGTCAAAACATCCTGATTGTTTTATACATGGTTTTGATGACAAATTCAGTATGGATACAGGCATAATCCTTAAATACAAATTAGCTGATGGGTATTTCCTATGATGATTTCAGACAAGTAGCCTGCAGGTCACTCTGGAAGATGGTCACATTGAATTGAGCACCAGAGATAGCAGTGGCCCAATTTTTAAATCTCCACAGACGTATATGGATGGTTTACTGCATTATGTATCTGTAATAAACGACAACTCTGGGTGAGTAGAATGATACTTATATCAGAGCTGTGAGCGAGTTTTACTCCCTTTAGTTTAATGGAATTTTCTGGCGTCTTTTTGCAAAATTTTTGTCCTTGATACCAAACTACTTTTCTAATAAATCTTGGCCTTCTTCTTTATTCTATATCAATTTCTCCATTAAAAAAAAATCACCACATCTGGTGGCTAATTTCTATGATCCCAACAACTAAGGAGGCTGAGGCAGGAGGGTTGATTGAGGCCAAGAGTTCAAGACCAGCCTGGGAAACATAGTGAAACCATGTCTCTAAGAAAAAATAAAATAAAATGTAAATAAATAAAATTTAAAAATAAATTGATAATTGGATGGATAAATTGTGGCGTATTCAAAATGGAATGCTATACAGCAATAAGAAAGAAGGATCTAGAACTATATATAATGACATAAGTGACCCTCACAAACATAATGTGGAAAACATTGAGTCACACATCAAAGCTCATCCCATATGATTTCCTTTAAACAAAGTTCAAAAATAGGCAGAACTTATCCATTCCGTCAGAATTCAGTGTAGAGGGAGGAAGGTTATAGAGTTAAAAGGAACAGGGTGCCTAGGGTACTGCTCTGTTCTGTTTGTCTGGGTGCTGGTAATGTTGGTATATTTCTGTTGCAGAAATTCATTGAGCTGAACACGTATAGCCTATGCACTTTCTGTACATGCATGTATAGTACTTTCACAAAAATGTCATATGCAAAAGAAAATATGAGAAAAAATTGTAATGCTCTTTAAAAATGAAGTCTAGTTTCACTAGTTATTTTAGTTAACAAATATTGAGTCTGGGTTATAGACAGTAAGTTGGCCACATGGCAAGGGCCCTTTTTTTCCAACAGTTCTCACCCCTAGTTTGCAATTCTTCCCTTTCAGACTACGGCTTCTCATCGATGACCAGCCTCTGAGAAATAACCAAAGGCTAAAACGCATTTCAGGTTCCGTGCAGTCTCTGCGTCTGGGCGGGAGCAATTTTGAGGGCTGTATCAGCAATGTTTTTGTCCAGAGGTAGGTGATCCTTTTTGTGGGTAACTGATGAGAAGGGTATCTCTTTGGTCCAGTTAACAAAGTCGGCTTTGTCAATGTGTGCGGCATGAGGCTCTCATAACACAGTCTTTCAAAATGCCATCTTTGGCAAGATAAACCCCTTAAAAAGCAAACCCACAAAAACTCCTGGGCCTTGGAAACCTTGGAAAAGGCCTAATTAAAATTAACTTCAGATTATGGCCCTGAAAAATATTCACACTGAAATTTTATTGCATTATAATCAGGATTGTGTAATTAGATTTAATCAGCTCTCCACGGTTTTCAAGGCCAAGGAATTGCGTGGACCAGTGCTATCCTAGGAAACCAAATCACCATAACATTGAATGTGATATTTAACAGAGAGAGAGTAGGACCTGGGGCTTCCATGCAAGTGTTTACATATTTTCTTTTAATAAAAAATGATTGTTTTTAGATAAGAGGCAAAATCTTCTCCAGAGTAAGAAGAGGGCCTGGTTCTGGCTATGAGCCTCAGGCTGGAACTCTTAGACTACCATGACAGGGATCCTCCCACCCATCAGGGCTCCATCCTCCTTGGGCAGGGTGAGGCTTAGAGTTCTCATTTCCCTCCTGGTTGATGAAACATTTTCCTTGCACATCTAATTCAGTGACTGGAGCAGGAAGTGGGAGGGATGGGAAAGGCACAGGGGTGGTTAGCAACAGGTGACTGCCATAACAAGCGTGCACAAGAATCGGGATAGAAAGCAAATTTGTCTGAGACTTTCCTTCTCATAGTCAGGCAAATCCTTACATAAATTCACCTCTGAAGTTTCCTTATGTTTACCATCTTTCTGTATCATCTAGTGCCCATCTTCCCGGTCTGTGCATATTTTACTTTCATGTTTCTATATGACACCAATTTCAAAGAAAGAACTATACTATCCCAGCCCTCCCACAATCCCACCACAGTCCCGAGTCAATAAAGGTTTCTTGGGCTCCTCACTGGCTTCTAGAGGTGATACTAAAGTAGGAGATGAAAGTGCCTAGGAACCATGACCATAAGAATGTGTAATTTAAAAAAATTATTGATACATAATAGTTGTATTAATACATATTTTTGGGGTACATGTGATATTCTGGTACAGGCCTTCAATATGTAATGATCAAATCTGTGTAACTAGAATGTCCTTCATTTCAAACATTTATCATTTCTTTATATTGGGAACATGCCGAATCTTCTCCTTTAGCTATTTTGAAATATACAATAAATCATCATTAACTAGAGTCACCCTACTCTGCTGCCAAACACTAGATCATATTCCTTCTAACTGCATTTTTGTACCCATTAACCAATCCCTCTTTATCCCCCAAATGTGCAGTTTTTGAAATGAGCTCTCTCTACTGGCGGGTCTTCCTCAACATGTCCAAGTTTGGCAGCATCTTTCATTTCTGCTCTTTTTCCAGGCTATCACTGAGTCCCGAAGTCCTAGATTTGGCCAATAACTCTCTTAAGAGAGATGTGTCCCTGGGAGGCTGCAACTTAAACAAACCACCTTTCCTAATGTTGCTTAAAGGTTCTACCAAGTTTAACAAGACCAAGACTTTCCATATCAACCAGGTAAGTGTTCAAACCTAACCCTGGGTTTCACTCCTCCCTGGAGGATTCCCCTAAGCCTGCCTTGTGGGAGATATTGGGGAAGGGGGTGAGAGATCGCCAATCCATGAAGTGGGATTGATGGGTTATCAACACCTGAATCACACCAAAATGTCGAAGTGGTTATCTTTTCAGCTTTTATTTTGCATCTTGATGAAAAGTTGGCAAGTTTTGCACTCACAGAACAAAACCATGACTTAGGTTTCTTAATTTCTGTAGCTGATATCTTGCTCTTTTGACACTTCTGCTGTGTCCCCAGCAGGTCCTGTTTTTCTGTAGAATATAAGGGCCATGCTCCTTTTCCTGCCCACAGACCTCCCCTCTGCTCTGATGCAACTCCTATGAGAATATACACCCATACATCTGGGCCTTGTCAAAACACCCATACATCTGGGCCTTGTCAAAACCAACGTGGCAGACACTTGACTACAGATTAGAAACACCTGGGGAGCTTTAACACCCCAATGCTCAGGCTGCATCTGACCCAATTAAGTCAGATCCTAGTGGAGTGGGTGTATCCGTAGTTTGTGAAGCTCCTCAGGTGATTCTGAGGCACAGCACTGAGAGAAACTGAGAGGAAATGAAACTCCTTATTTGGAGGAGCAGAACGTTGTCATGAATTGAACACAGGATTGGAGCTTAAGGAGCCCCTTGCTCTGCTCTGCTCCAGGTCAACAATGTGACTTCCCCAGGTCTGAGGTTACAATTAATATGGTTAATGGATAACATTGGGCACCTCTGATCTGCCAGGCACTGCACTATGCATTCCAAATGGATTTTCTTACCAAATCCCTCAGTAACCTTATGCTGCAGTGTAGAAAGGTAAGCAATTCTGCCCAAGCTCCCACAGGTGGAAGGTAGAGTTGGATGGAGTTCCAACCCAGGAGCCTGTGGCCTCTTGAGAGCTGTGTGCTCCTGTTCAACACACTTCCCACCTAATGTCAACCACATGCTGCTTCTCTACCAGTATTTCCCCACTGCACAATGATTTGGGGGAGCATGAACAGATAATACCTAATAAAATAATGTTTTATGCTATTAAGAAGAAATATACTTCATAAATCCAAAAGGGTTGTCATTTTGCCATTACAGGAACATCTTTAGAATTGCCCCATCAGAAATGAAGTCATATATTCATTTTTTCATTGTAAGGCTGAAAGTTATTGAGAGACTGAATTAGCCCAGTGATGGTGAACTGGAGTGAGCAAATGGATTCAAAAGCTATTTATAAGATAGACTATACATGACTCAGACAATAATTGAATTGGGGAGACAAGGGAGAGGCAGGAGTTGAGATAATTCTGAGGCATCCGGTCTGGGTTATTTGATGGATGGAGATGCCCTCTCCATGGAGATAGAAGAAGGACACATATTTGGAGGAAAAGAGAATGAATGGAGTTTGTGGTGTAGTGAGTGGCAGGCACCTGCAGGACACCCAGGTGCAGAAATTTGGCAGGAGACAGTCAGGAGTCTCCGCGTGGGCCTCAGCAGATAGGGTGGGACTGGAGCTTTTGATGTGGAAAACATTCATGGATACACTATTTCATTTCCCCTTGTTCTGCATAAGCCCCCAGTTTAGATGGAATAGGACATTAGTCTCTTCCCATTAGCAGAAAGAATAGAGCACAGCTTAGTGGTTAGGTACTGGTTAAGTACTCTGGGGTCAGACTTCCTGGGTTTGCATCCAGGTTTACCATGCATTAGGTATGTGACTTTGGACAATTATTAAACCTCTCTGTGGGTCTATTTTCCCTGATGTAATTGAAGATAAATAATGGTAATGGCTCATGATGTCGATGTGAGGTTTAAATGAAGTAATAAATACAAGATACTTATAAAAGTGCCTGGCACATAGTAAGTATGCATTAAATGCTAGTTATTATTACTGTGCACACTGATGAAAACCTAAATGAAAGGGACAGGAGTGGTACAGCAGGAATTTTCCTATCATGGGAATCAGGAGGGTTCTTCTGGAGAAGGTGACCAAATTTAGATGAGTGAATATTGTTGGTGCCTGAGCAGAAGCCCAAAGCTGGAGGCAGGATGTAGCTGGGACTCATCGCTGAATGCATCCTCACCAGACTTCATGCTCTTTCTCTCCCTTCTTACCACACCTCTCTCAGAGGTGCAGATCACCTGAGGTCATGAGTTCAAGACCATCCTGGCCAACATGGTGAAACCCTGTCTCTAGTTAAAATGCCAACCTTACAGGTCGGGAAATTGGGTGTCTAAGAGTTTTAAAAAAAGTTACCAAAAAGCACCCTGCCAGTAAATGGTAGAGTCAGAATTCAAACTTCAGACTTTTAAGCACAAAGAATGTGTTCTTCTCCCAGGCGCTCAGAGCTCAGTGGGGATCTCCGTCAGTCAAAGTGAAGGGTAGGGATTCATCTTACTAGGGGTTGGTTCAGAAATGAACATGCGACCCCTCCCTCATGGCCAATGAGCTCTGAGAGGAAGTTGAGGGCAGGGCTTCTGACAAGGATTCCGTATTAGCACAAAGAGATATCGGGTAGAATCCACGCTTCTTGTGCTGGACAATGTAGTGAGGATGCGATTCCCAGAAGCACAAGAAGAGCACAAGATTCAAACGTAAGCACAAAGAATGTGCTCTAAAGGCCCGGAAAGCTTGGTGAACAGTGGGAAATTTGGTGGAGAAAGGAGACTAGAGAGAGGTAACTTAGAATCACACCCTGAAGCCAGATCAGGCAAGCCTCATATGACCTATGTCAATTGGACATTTGTCTATAGTCAATGTAATGTCATTGAAAGGAGTGCTGTAAGCAGTTGAAAAGATTGAAGATTACTAAGCTGGCAGCAGCCAGTGGAATGGTTTGGTGTAGGAAAGCTCTAGAGCCAAGGAGTCAGATTGGCAAGCTACTGCAGTCATCCCAGCAAAAGAGTCAGGGCTGGCCGGGTGTGGTGGCTCATGCCTGTAATCCCAACATTTTGGGAGGCTGAGGCGGGCAGATCACCTGAGGTCATGAGTTCAAGACCACCTGGCCAACAAGGTGAAACCCCGTCTCTACTTAAAATACAAAAATTAGCCAGGTGTGGTCGTGGGCACCTCACTCAGGAGGCTGAGGCAGGAGAATTGCTGGAACCAGGGAGGTGGAGGTTGCAATGAGCTGACATCACACCACTGCCCTCCAGCCTGAGCAACACAGTGAGACTCCATCTCAAAAAAAAATAAAATAAAATAAAAAACAAGTCAGGGCTGACATTCAGGGCATAGGCACTAGAATTGAAAAGGAAGAAGTGGAAACAAAATTATGTCACAGAACAAAAGCAGAACATGAGAACTTATTGCATGAAAGAGGCAAGGGAGGCAGGTGTCCATGATGACCAACATTTTGAGCCTGGATGCCTTAAAGGATGATGATACCATTAAGAGAATTAAGGGAGACTTGGTGGCAAAGGCTATCTGTCAAAACTATTCATCTCCATGCTCATGCTACTGACACACAGAGAAGATCCCCAGAGAGGGAGCGAGGCCCATTGGTGTGAGCCCCAGGCAGGAGCTGGGGCTGGGTTCTAATCTCAATAGGATCAAGGTTTGGCTGTGATTTAAGTAACTCACCTAAGTTTCTGTTGGGTATGGTAGAACATCTCCATTTAGCAATGTGCAAGCATCATTTCAAGTGACTGATTTCAAGTTTGCATTCTGAGCACTGTATCCAGGAATTGGGTCAGGGAAGAAAACCCGCCCCTGAAGGAATGTGAACCTTTCAGGAAGCCTTTAGCTGCTGATTCAGAAAACTCACTGCAAAATTAATGACTTAAACGATAATAATAATCTCACATGGTGAGCCATGCTGGGGTAGGTGAGGCTTGAGGCCTGGTCCATCAGGAGCTGGCTCTGCTTCCTCTTGGCTCTCTTGGCTCCATCCTGCGTGCTTCTGGGAATCATATCCTCACTACACTGTCCAGCACAAGCAGCACTGATTCTTCCCGGGTTTCTCTTTGTGCTAATATGGAATCCTTTATCAGAAGCCCCACCTTCAACTTCCTCTCAGGGCTCCTTGAGCAGGAGGGAGAGATCACATGTTCATTTCTGAACCAACCCGTGGTAAGGTGAATCCCCACCCTTTGCTTTGACTGATGGAGGTCCCCACTGAGTTCTGAGCACCTGGGAGAGGTTCATGGGCATTTCAGAATCTGAGCTCTGTGATGGAGAAAAGAGGGGCAGGCCTGGGGAATCTCAGTTACTTCCAGCAATTTCCTAGTCACATTTAACATTTATTATGGTTGTTTTTCTGCATTAAAACTCAGTCCTGTTCAAAAGTTCAAAACCTCATCCAGCATAGGACAGACTTCTCTGCATGAGTCAACTCTGATGGAAGTGGAGACAGGATGTGGTCCTCTCCCTTCTTTCTGTCTCCTGCTATCTTGGTCCTTTCACCTGCCCTGCTGTCCAAGTGAGTGGTCGTTAGGGGAGGTGGCCGCAGGTTTGCAGCTCCATGTTTCACTGGCAGGCTGTGGGCATCTCGGTGCTGCTGGCCAAATGCTGGCTCCCTCAAGCGACACTGTGGTTCTTCCAATACTCAGTGGTGGAGAGGGGAACCAGGCAGCCACTGGTCCCAGGTTAGCAGCTTTCAGAAAAGAACCCAGACTTGTGTAAGATGAGAATAACATGCATGCTCCCCAAAGAAGGAGGGAGAGAAAAGGGGGTATTTAGATTCTCCTAAACTTTGTTTCTCCCCCAAAAGAATGAGCCCCTCTGCCTTCTAGCCCTGTCTTATACCTTCCTGGTGGCAAGATGCTCTCAAATCAAAGCCACACTAGGGCACTGATGGGGATTGCGAGGATCTGGTTTCGGAGAAAGTTAAAGAGCTAAAGAATGAGCTCTCTGTTCTGCCGCTCCATGCCAGTCAGTGACCCTCAGGAAGGGCTCTCAGTGGAAACTTCCCATCTCCACAGTACCATTTCCCAGGCCTTCCATTGCCCTGCTGAATTCATCCCTTAGGATCAATGGTGAAAATTAAGCAATGTACCTAGCAAGACAAGCATTCTTCACTCTGTCCCCTGATAATGATGTGGTATTGCTCTTCTCCCATGCAGCTGTTGCAAGACACACCAGTAGCCTCCCCAAGGAGCATGAAGGTGCGGCAAGATGCTTGCTCACTGCTTCCCAGGATGCAGGCCAATCATGGAGCCCTCCGGTTTGGAGACATTCCCACCAGCCACTTGCTATTCAAGCTTCCTCAGGAACTGCTGAAATCCAGGTATTATTTAGCTTTCCTGCCCCAGCACCAACTCAGAACCTGATTCTGCGATTCCACCCAGGGAAATCTGGCTGCCATGACACCATGCACCTGTCTCTAATGAAGATGATACTACCATTTGTGTGCAAAGAGGTGCTGGCCTGCACAGGACGGGGAGTGTGATTGCCTGCCATGTGCTCTCCCAGCAGCCGGAGGCAAACGTGAGGGTGTAGTGCTCTGAGGCTGAAACAATCAGCTCAGCTCTGGTTTAGAATTGATGGTGTTCTAAAAATAAGGCTAACTTTTTGTTTTAAAGCTACTGTTTTATTTCTATGATAAATCACCTTTCTTTTCTTGTATTCTGTAGTGAAAGGAAAATCATTCTTTTTAGGTAGCTGCAGTGCCAGATCATTTTTAGAGAATACATTTGGCCTTTTCGTGCTAACAAGTTGCATCTCTTCTGGGGAGAGGGGAATAAGCAGAAATATGAATTATGTCAGGAAAAAAGTAGAAAAACAAGGTTTGTCATTTTCAGGTGATTCAAAGAAGACATAGATTAAAAAGGTGCTATTTCTTCATGGCTTTTCTACAGAGGCAGAATTGCCCAGAGTTTAAAAGGACCTGGCTCTAAAATCTGGCTTTCAGTCCCCTCCACCACTTACTGGCCGTGTGACCCCAGGCCATGTGCCAGGGCAGCTCCTCTGAGACAGAGACACTCAGATGGGATTAGATGGGCAAGGGATTTATTGTGGGGAAGCCTGTGAAGGATGACCAGGAGGGGATGGGGACAGGGACAGGAGCAGGCAGAAAGAGCCCACAGCTGGCTGTGGGCCTGTAGACATGGAGAGGAGGGTGCAGGGAGAATAGAGCCGGATAGGAAGGACCTCAGGCTGCAGTACAGCTGTGAGCAGTCTCAGTCAGGTGCCTCAGTGCCCCCAAGCAGAGATCATCTCTGAGAAGAGCCCATTGTTGACCATAAATGACCTGGCTCAAGTACCCTCGGGTGTCATTGAAGACCCAGGGCATGGCAGCCGCACTGTGCTCCCCGCTGCAGCTTCTCTTGGAGCATGACTTCATGGTGGCCACAGGCTGTTTAACTTTTCCAAGCCTAAGCTGTCCCTCTATGCCAATTTGCACGTTAGCAAATTGCTACCTGTCTCTGGACCTCAATTTTCCTGTCGGTTCAGTGGGCCTGATGATGCTTTCCTTGCAGGGAGGAGAGGTCATAGCGTGTAAGGAGGCTGGCCCTTGAAGCCCACTCAGTAAGCTGTGAGCGTACATCACAGGCAGAGAGAGGTAAAGGCCAGAGAAAGACTGAATGCTGAGCTCAGGAGAAAGCCTGTGTGGACAGCTCCGGGTCTCCAGCTGCCCCATGGAAAGTCTCAGGGTCCCTCATTTTCCAAAACTGTGCTAGTAGAAGCTAAGGCAGAGGGAGGGAGAGTGTCCCTCCAGTTACGCCCTCCCCCGGCTACTGGGTGGTGGGGAGACCCCACTCCCCGTCCCTGCTCTCTTGGTCAAGCTGACCTTAATGACAGTGACCTCCCTCTTTCAAGAAACTGCCCCAGCTGCCCTTTCCCCAGCCTCCCACCTCTGGCCTCCCCCTTGTGGCCTCTCCATCATCTTCTCCCTCCCCTCCCGGGCAGCTTCTCTCTCAGCACATTCAGTGCAGCGAGTTACCAACTTCTGACAGTTCAGCCCCTGTGCCTTCCCATCCAACATTAAACTGTACATCATAAATGAAAAAGTAACATTTTAAAAAGTTACATTTTTAAAAAAGTTAATCAGTAAATATAATTTTCAACTTATGTTAGCCCCAAATGTTGTAGCAATCAGATGTTTTCAGAAAGTTGTAAGAGTTGGAGGATTCTGTTGTTCTCATTCTGATTGACATTCCGGCAGTGCTCTGACACTCCTTTACAACAGGTGCTGTCACTTCACCCCTTTGGTGAATGTATAAAAATGCTCTTTAGCTCTCTGCCCTGTCCTCCCATCCTCCAGCAATGAAGAGTCACAGCTACAGTATCATGTACTGGGATCTGAATCTGCTGATGCCTTTTTTTGGGTGTTAGTCAGTTAGTCTTTTACGAACGAAAGTTACTTTAGGAAATAGTTCTGGAAAGCAAATGTCAAGTCTGATCATCAGGCCCACATATGGAAAGTCCTTTCTATTCTGCAGCACGTTCTAATATCCTCCTTAACTTGGCTACCCCTCATCCTCCAAACCTCCGCACTAACACAGACACACCAGGAGAAATATTGAGCAGTGTTACCATCTGGCTGTCTTAATTTAACAAATATAGATTTCTCTTTCATTTTGAAGAACATTGCCCTCAAGGAAACTTGCTAATCTGAAGAATAAATGTGCATCTCAGCCTCACAGAATTAAAAAGCAAAGGGAATTAACAGTATAATTTCTTTCTTCCACTTCTAGTTTCTGCCTCTGAATTTTCCATTTACCATTTAATTCAATTCAGTAACTATTTATTGAGTGCCTACTGCATAATAGACACTGGGGTGCCACTCTGAGTGGGATGATCCCAGTTTCTGCCCTCTGTCTGCTGTCTGCGTAGACATTAGCCACAGGAATGGCTGAGGACAGCCGGTTGATATTTGCATCTCCCACAACCCTTTCATGCACACCTTTATGCATCCCTCTCAGGGCACCCCTGCCCCATAAACGACTCAAGGAATGAAACATCCATCACTGCATTCCTGGGTCCAGCACCGTGCCTTATGCATCCCCCACACTCGCTAAATACTTGTTTGATGGATGGATGGATGAGTTGAGTTTTCATAAAAAGTAAAGCTTGCTTAGCTGGATGTGCATAGAACATGTAACCATCATCATCATGCAAATGAACACTAATCTGCACTCTTTTTTTTTTTTTTTTAAGACAGAGTCGCTGTGTTGCCCAGGCTGGGGTGCAGTGGTGTGATCTAGGCTCACTGCAACCTCCACCTCCTGGGTTCAAGCAATTCTGCTGCCTCAGCCTCTTGAGTAGCTGGGATTACAGATGCCTGCCACCATGCCTGGCTAATTTTTGTATTTTTAGTAGAGACGGGGTTTCCCCATGTTGGCCAGGCTGGTCTTGAACTCCTGACCTTAGGTGATCCACCCACCTCGGCCTCCCAAAGCGCTGGGATTACAGGCATGAGCTACCACACCTGGCGCACTCTGCTTTTACTCTGTGATATTTGCCTCATTTTTCTTCCCTCACAGGTAGGGTATTAGGGTCTGAGAAATGTAGAGGTGTGTGGGAGAAGGCGGGTCTGTGCTTCCATGTCTTTGTATTAAATTTGTCCTACAGAAAGGAAACGCTTCTTTGATGCTTACCTCACATCCTTGTTATTCGAGTTGCCCCCTAATTCTCCTGTGACTTCCCTCTCTATGAATACATACAAAACAGTGCATATTCATTGGGTTTGAAAAGTACAGGCTTCTACGTGAAATAAGCCAGTCACAAAAGGACAAGTTCTTTACAATTCCACTTACATTAGGTACCTCAAGTAGTCATATTCATCAAGACAGAAAGTAGAGTGGTGGCTGGTTATCAGGGGCTGTGCGGAAAGGAAGCCAGGGAGCTGTTGTTTAATTGGGTACAAGTTTCAGTTTTGCAAGATGAAAAGAGTTCTCAAGATTGATAGTACAACAATGTGAATGTACTTAACGGCACTGAACTATACATTTAACAACGGTTAAGATGGCAAAATTTATGTTATGTGTATTTTACCATAACTTTTTAAAACATAGACTTTTATAAAAGATCAGTAAGGAAATTATCCAACAAAACCATTAACATTTGGAATAGAATAGCTTGTTGAAGTTCCCAGAGAATCTGGCCGGGTGCAGTGGCTCATGCCTGTAATCCCAGCACTTTGGGAGGCCGAAGCAGGTAGATCACAAGGTCAGGAGTCCAAGACCAGCCTGGCCAAGATGGTGAAACCCTGTCTCTATTAAAAATACAAAAATTAGCTGAGCGTGATGGCAGGTGCCCATAATCCCAGCTCCTTGGGAGGCTGAGGCAAAGAATTGCTTGAATCCAGGAGGCAGAGGTTGCAGTGAGCTGAGATCATACCACTGCACTCCAGCCTGGGCGACAAAGCAAAATTCCATCTCAAAAAAAAAAAAAAAAGTTCTTAGAGAAACAGGTTATCTAATCAGTACCTACCTTAGCTTGTCCATCTGAAAAATGGGGGTTGTGTGTTTGCCCCCCACCCTGTGTCTCTACTCTGAGATTCAAAGAAACGCTGAACACCTCTATTTCTCTTCACTGCCACTCTTCACCACAGGTCACAGTTTGCTGTGGACGTGCAGACAACATCCTCCAGAGGGCTGGTGTTTCACATGGGCACTAAGAACTCCTTTATGGCTCTTTATCTTTCAAAAGGACATCTGGTCTTTGCACTGGGGACAGAAAGGAAAAAACTGAGGCTCAAAAGCAAGGAGAAATGCAATGACGGGAAATGGCACACGGTAAGAGCTGGGGCTGCGTCAGTGTCTCCAGTTGGTGTGGAATTCACTTTTGGAGTTGCTGAAAATAGGAGTCCCAGCATCTTTCCCAGACACGAAGGCGTGTGGTGGGAGAGCTGTGTGCAGTGGGAGGGCTTGCAGGCGCTGCGTGCCCGGCATCTCAGTACTGGAGGCTGCACACACGCCACACATGGCTGTCATCCTAGACAGTAAAGTCAAGGTGGACTTTACTGATTGCTTCTTCCATCCCCTCCAGCTCTCCCCCGGCGGCCTCATGCCCCTTGCCTACTCTCACTCCTGCCTCCAGCACCATTTCTCCCCCTGTGACCAGTTTCCAGGCCTCCAGGCCCCTCTTTGGTCCTGGACTGATCCTAGCACCTCACCTCTTGCTTAAAGGCATTCTAGATTCAAAGAAATAACATTTAAGGCAAGAAAGGACCTATTTCTTTCTCTAAGGAGGCAGCTGGACTTCAGAAAACGTAAGTGACTTGACAGGTGCATTCACTTAGTCATTCAGCTGCCCTTCTGGAACACATAAGCAAATATTCCTCAATGTAATGTCAGAGATTGGTAAGTGCTTTGAGAAAACACTAGAGCGAGGTAAAAAAATGACAGAACAGAGAGACTGTTTTAAATAAGGCAGTCGAAAAAGCCCCAGCGCAGCAGGTGGCAGTCACATGAGGTTATGGGGAAGGGGTTCCAGGCAGAGGGAAGAGGAAGTAACAGGGACCTGGAGGTGGGAATTAGCTGAATGAAAAAGCGCAAAGTGGTAAGAAATGGAATTAGAGAGGAAGACAGAGCCCAGATGATTTAAGCTTTGAAAGCCAAGCTATGAATTTGGACTTTATTTGAAAGGGTCTGTAAAGCTTTTAAAGGGTCTTAAAACTCTTCCATGTACAGATCCATATATCGTTTAATTCTTTAGCTGAAGAGACTGCCCGGGTGGAAGAGTAGCGGCAGGGAGCCCATGTGGTTGCTGTTGCCTTTGCTTGCAGAGGCTGTGGGCTGGTGGGGAGACATGACTGCCAGGGATGCATGCGGAAGGTAGAACCACGTGGGCTTGCTGATGGGTCACCAATAGAGGGTGAGAGGAAGATAGGGGTCCAGATCGTTTCCTGTGATTTGGGGCCAGCAATTGGGTCATTAGTGGGCATTTACTGAGATGAAGCTGGAGAAGAAGCAGATGTGGTCAAGAGGAATGCAGTTTAGAGCTGGGGAAGATGCAGAGTTCTGCCATGAACATCTCAGGGCTGCAGGGCCTGTCAGACCTTCAAACCCAGATATCAGCAGGCAGTAGAGGCTGAAGGTCACAGCTTGGCATTTAAATGGAAGCATCATCAGTGAATAGTCTCACAGTCATGAGATGGCAGAATCCACACCAGACCCCAGGGATTGGAAATTTTAGCAAAGTGCTCCTCTTGTTAGAAGAGAAGTGCCCTCCTTCCACCTGCCCAAGAGGCCTGCCCCAGGTGCCACGGCTCTGCTACACCCACTTCCCTACCACTGTCCACACTGTCTCTGCCCCTTTGTTAATGGGAGGGGTTGCCTGTGGATGTGCCTTTAACTGTTTATCTTTTATGTTAGTTTCCAGATCATTTCTATAAAATATTTTGATTAGTTCATTTCTGAGCAACCTTTTTTTTAGTTCCCCTTTTTAGCTCAGTTTGTTCAATATTTAACAATCTCACAAAATGATGGTGATGGTGATAACTGAAAAAAAAAACTCATCTTTTGAAGCTGTTTGAAGGAGCAGAAAAACATTGGTTTTAAATTTGGCCACTAATATTTAATAAAATACAATGCCAATTGTCAAAGGTAAAAATGCAACTCACAGATCTTCCTCACTCTGAAGGTGGTGTTTGGCCATGATGGAGAAAAGGGGCGCTTGGTTGTGGACGGACTGAGGGTCCGGGAGGGAAGTTTGCCCGGAAACTCCACCATCAGCATCACAGCACCAGTTTACCTGGGATCATCTCCGTCAGGGAAACCAAAGGTAAATAGTTATGTTCAGAGCCATGGATAAAAATAATTCACCTTGTATTATAGACATAATTATATGTGATATTCAAAATACTCAACATATGAGAATGTCAAAATACTTTAAATGATTTTTAAGGGTCTAATTAATGTTCACAAGCACACAGAGGAGGTGTCCATTTCTTAACCCCAAGTCTTCATTTTTAAGGTGCAGGTTGAGACGCAGACCTTGAAGGGGTGAAGATAGGGCTTGTCTACTGCTTCCTAAACCTGAATCTATTGGCTTCTTCTCCAGGGAATGCGAAAACAGAGGTTTTAGGTTATAGACAGAGTTTTTTTTGATTAACATAATGTGTTCGAAATTGCAGTCATTTCTGCCACTTTCACCATCTTTGCCATACCCAGGTAAAACTTTGGCTCACGGGTTTTCTCTCCATCAAACTATTTATTTTAAATGTGCTTCTGTGGGACCTTTTTATCTCTCCCATAAGTGGAAACCTACTATTCTTCACCATAAATAATAGGTAACCATAAGAAACACTTGAAAACCAAACAGCGTTATTAATGTCAAATCGGTCGCGTGACCTATGTGCTCTTTGCCTGGAGGAAAAGGTGCCTGACACGTAATCAAGAGGGCGTTTAAGACATATTAGCACAAAGCTAAAAGCTGTTCCTTTTCCTCGTCCAAACGCTAGAAAGAGAATTGAAAAAAGAATAACTTAATATCTGAATATTGTGTTTTAATGTTATTTAATATCTAAAGTAACAAAATGATCTCAAAAACTAAACTTGGGAATGCTGGGCGAAGTGAAAGTTGGGACTCCTCTGTCCCTGGAAGAGGGGTGCTTTTCTAGGTTTGTCAAGTTCAAGGCTCTGATAGGGCCACAGCTCCAGGGCTGAGCTCTGTGGGTGCCCTCTCCCTTCCTCTCTCCTACCCCCTGCCACAGTGTTCATTGCACTAGGGTTACTTGAGGCAGCCTTGGGAACCTGTCTTTCTTGTCCCAGGTTTGCCTTTTTTTTTTTTTTTTTCCCCAGGCTTGCCTTTTGTTTCCCCCCCGACAAAGTTAAGTAAGATGCGCCTCTCAACAGTTCAGCTCTGTCGACTGCCCTCCACTTGAATGCAACCTTTACCCCTTTGCTCCAGACCTGGTGGCATATTCTGGTGTGACGTTTGCTTGCAGTGGGGAAAACAAAAGAACCCTGGGCTCAAATCTGGGCCTAAAAATGGGCATAATGAAAGCAGGTCTTCTCCACCAGTTTAGATGCTAGCTGCTTAGGCTGACCTAGCCTCAGCCAGGGCTTAGCCTGGCGGACTTGGGTTTTGCACTGGGGTTTGGACCAGAGCTCCAGTGTTATACAATAAAGTATACTTCTTGTACCCCAGCAGGCAATAGAGTATTACTTTGCTTTGTTATATACAGTCACTTTTATATACGGTCATTTTTAAAAACAGGTATATATTCTAATAAAAATATATAACACATTATCCATTATTTATAATACACATTATATATATATTTCATATACACCGCATATTAGTTGCTAAGGAGGATTCTCATTGTTAATGTTTGCATTTTCTCAACCTCTGTTCCTATGTTCATCTCAGAGAAATCACAGGATGGGGCAAGATTTGGGTATTCTTTGGCCTCGGATAAATACTCTTTATACCACCCTAATCACACCCAGCATCCTAACATCTGGGGCAATTAGTAGCACCCCACTTACAATCCTCTTTACAAGCCAAGTTTCTTTTTGCAGCCTTCTTTCAACCTGAGGGTATAACCCATCTCATGGGCCCTCCCACATATCCTTTTCAGGAGTAGGCCACGTCAGATCAGTGTCTGCCTCTGAACACCAACCAGCACTGCAGTCAGCCCTTAGGGATCAATGCTGGGTCTGGCCCCTCCTGGAGAGTCCTAGCTTTAGAACACAGCTTTTTCATTGTGTAGCATGACAAATCTTATGAAACAAAAAGTTTCATAGGGATCCCAGTCAGTAGTTTACTGTTGATGCTGGCGCCATGATGTGAAAATGGTATCACATCACCATTTTCTTCTTTTTTTTTTTTTTTTTGAGATGGAGTCTCACTCTGTCATCCAGGCTGGATGGAGTACAGTGGAGCAATCTTGACTCATTTCAACCTCCGCCTCCCAAGTTCAAGAGATTCTCCTGCCTCAGCCTCCTGAGTAGCTGGGACTACAGGCGTGTACCACCATGCCCAGCTAATTTTTGTATTTTTAGTAGAGACGGTGTTTTACCATGTTGGCCAGGCTGGCCTCGAACTCCTAAACTCAGGTGATCCACCAGCCTCAGCTTTCCAAAGTGCTGGGATTACGGACATGAGCCACTCCGCCCATCCAATGTTTTCTCTTAAAGTTATCATATCCTTATTGCCGTATCTGTCTTGTAGGATTTCAGAGCCCTAAAGGCATTCATTCTAGAAGGGAGTCTAGGAGTTTTATTCAATGAATCTTAAGCTTTCTTGAGAATTTTATGAAATTTACAGTACTTCTCCCCAGGAAAATGCACATGCAGAACACATCTGGTATATAACATAGGAGATCACAGAACCCCACAAGCCTGTTCCAGGGCCCCAGGAGAGGAGTCCCCTGTTCCAGCCAGCTCTAGGCAGGCATGGGGCTCCACGAAAGCCCACTGACGATGCACACTGTGTCTTATTTTAACTCTGCAGCATTTGTGACTTGGTGGTGGTGCACTGAGCTCAACAATGTGGAAGATTTTTTTGCATTTTATTATTTTTGGAACATTTTGGCCTCTTTATATTGGTCAGCTGCCCTGCATTAAGCTATCACACTGCCTCATGTAAGCCTAAGAAGGGGTTTTTACCTGCAAAGAGATGGTGAAATATGTCCACTGTAAGGTGGAAATTTCCCTTGTTGCTGCTCTGACTGTGAGGACCAGGGTCAGGTCAACCATCTCTGTCCTTATTCCAGCACAAGTGAGCAATCTGCACTACCCCCGCCCTCCTGCACACACACCACTTGGTTTGGTGGCACCTGCAAACTTCGACCACCCACCCAACATCTGGTACACAGGTTTTTCTTGGCACTGTGGGCAGAGAGCCAAATACAACAGCTATTAGAACCTGAGTCTGAAGAACCCGACTCGGAAGCAGGAAGAATGAATCCCTACCTACCTTCCCCCTTTTGCTGACAAGCTGCAGTGCCCTTCACCTTGGCTACCCATGCCTTTCCTGGAGATGTAGGTAATGAGCTTTTTCTTTTTTTCTTGGTTGCAGACCTTCCCCACAAATAGCTTTGTGGGATGTCTGAAGAATTTTCATCTGGATTCAAAACCCTTGGATACCCCTTCTTCAAGCTCAGGGGTGTCTTCCTGCCTGGGGGGCCCTTTGGAGAAAGGCATTTATTTCTCTGAAGAAGGAGGTCATGTCATCTTGGGTAAGGAGCAGTTCCATAGAGTTTATGTCTTTGCGTCTTAAGAACTGTATCCCAGCTGGGCACAGTGGCTCAAGCCTGTAACCCCAGCACTTTGGGAGGCCAAGGCAGGCGGATCGACTGAGGTCAGGAGTTCAAGGCCAGCCTGGCTAACATGGCAAAACCCCGTCTCTACTAAAAAAAAAAGTAGCCAGCCTTGGTGGTGGGCACCTGTAATCCCAGCTACTTGGGAGGCTGAGGCAACAGAATCGCTTGAACCTGAGAGGCAGAGGTTACAGTGAGCTCCACTTCACTCCAGCCTGGGTGACAGAGTGAGACTCCATCTCAAAAAAAATAAAAAAAACTGAAAAGAACTATACGCTGTTTTCTTTCATAGCAATACGTTAACTTTTGCTTTGTTTTTCTTTGGAAAGCTCACTCTGTGTTGTTGGGGCCAGAATTTAAGCTTGTTTTCAGCATCCGCCCAAGAAGTCTCACTGGAATCCTGATACACATCGGAAGTCAGCCGGGGAAGCACTTATGTGTTTACATGGAGGCAGGGAAGGTGCGTAGCAGTCTGATGTCATGGGAGGGTCTGTGGAAACCAGTTTCCACTTCTGGAGGCCACAGTGGGTCAGGTTTATAGTAGAGAATGGGATCCAGTCTTGTATTTAAGAGCCTTGACCTTAGGGCTAACTCACATTTTCCTTTAGCAAGTAATTTTATCATCACGTTTTCTGTTCTTAATTTTTAAAACTGGGAAAACTCAAACAAGTTGGGCTGAATTGCAGCTCCAGCATTTGGTTATAAGGCCCTAGGGAAGTTACTTAAGCTCTTTCAGCCTTATCTGTAAAATGTAGATAATAACTCTTATATCTTAAGGCTTTTGTCACGATTATAGAAATTGCCATATACTCAATTCTCATGGATCCCTTCCTCCTTCATCTCTGTGACCTCATTTGTCCCATCACTCACAGGCCTGAGTCAATATCTTATTTTCCACCGCCCAGTTATCTCTTTCCTTCTCAAAGATGTCCCTTTAAAACCAAATTCTTTTAGGAAGACCCATACTTGAGGCCTCCAGTGAAAGATTGACATAATATGCCATTTTCTTTCATCCCCATCCTTCCACAGTTTATTAAGTGTGAGGGGAAAAGAACCCCAGAAGAAAATAAAATGTTCTGGGCTGGGCATAGTCACTCACGCCTGTAATCCCAGCACTTTGGGAGGCCGAGGCGGGTGAATCACGAGGTCAGGAGATAGATACCATCACCGCTAACGTGGTGAAACCCCATCTCTACTAAAAAAAAAAAAGATACAAAAAGGTGGCACACACCTGTAGTCCCAGCTACTTGGGGGCTGAGGGAGGAGAATCACTTAAACCCAGGGATGGAGGTTGCAGTGAGCCAAAATCGCATCACCGCACTCCAGCCTGGGTGACAGAGTGAGACTCCTAGAACACTTTTTATTGTAGCCTTTCATTAAGTCTAAGTAGGTATCTGGTAGTTTGCAAGGTGTTTGAGACAATTCTGGGTTTTCAGAGGAGGGACTGGAGAGAGTCTTTACTGAGAGTCTCTGGGAAGGAATTATTCTCAGGAAAACAAATCAAGACCTGATGACCTTCATAATAGCAGTGACATTGTTTAGCTCAAAAATTGCCTGTGAATAGGCTGTCCCATCTGGCTACATGCAAATTAAATGTAAATTATTTATAAATACACTTACTTTAGTCCTCTCATTTCATTCCCCTTGGTTTAACCCTTGGAAGATCCCGGAGGAGACCCTGATTTAGGAAGCAGGAATGTGGGATTCTGCACAAAACAGACTGTGTACCTGGCTCCCAGTGCATGCCCAATGCAAACTCAGTCATTTTGCTTGTTTAATGTCTTGGACGAAAACCACTCTATAAATAATGCTTGAGCGGAACTACGACAACTGGCTGGCCCTTGCAGCAGGCTGTAGGCCTCCACAGTATCTTTGCCTTCCACATCTCACATATCCTTCCACACAGAGCCACTGTCACGCATTAATTAATTCCAATCAGTAACCTTTGAGTTGAACTGATGGGGGCGGTGTTTGGATTAGAAGGAAACAGCTCATTGCGGCTGGGGTCCAACCTGGTTTACAGTTTGCCTGCCTGGAAGGGATGCATTAGAGAGATCTCTGGAAGCCTTGGACCCCATGCGGTCACCTGCTGCAGAAGCAGAGGAGGACCAATATCTAATGTGCTCTTAAGCTGTCAGTGGGGCCAGGTTTGGGAAGGGAAGATGGCAGGGGAAGGTTGGCTCCTCCTGCATTTCTGAACGAAATGGGAAAATGCATGTGTGTTCCAGGTCACGGCCTCTATGGAGACTGGAGCAGGTGGGACCTCGACGTCGGTCACACCAAAGCAGTCTCTGTGTGATGGACAGTGGCACTCCGTGGCAGGTATGATGTTCAGTAGCTGATTGTTCATGCACTAACACAGGCCCCCTTTCCATCTTGACTTGAACATCCCAAAGGCAGCCTCAGCCCCTCCATCCATAGTGCCTGACCAGGGCCAGCCCCCCAGGCTAATGTGTCCATTCTCATCCCCTATGCTTCTGTCACTCATGGTTGCCACCTCCAATTCTCCAGAACTTATTGAATGTTTTATTGTTACTGGTGTTGTTTGTTTGTATTTGGGGCCTAGCACACTAATAAGCTATGCTAGTTATCCAGATAGTATAACATTGTGATTTAGATTTTGGCTCTGAAGTTAGAACAGAGGTCAGATCTTTGTTCCATCCCTTTCCCTGTGTGACCTTGGAAAGTCACTTAACTGTTCTCTATCTTCAATTTCCTCTTCTGTAAAGTGAAGATAAAAATAGAGTATGCCTCTTAAGGTTGTAGAAATTCAATGGGATAATGTGTGACAAGTGCTTAGCCCAGTGTCTAATACATACTCAGTGTTCAGTATCTGTTTTTTGTTAAGCCTCATTGTTGGGTTTTTTCAACAACCATTTAATATTAATGCAGACTATTTAGACAAACCAATGCTTGCTTGCAGCAAGCATTTCCTCTCAAAAAGAATCTGTAATTTTATTAGTTACTTGCAGATATTAGAGATCTATGCACCTGTATTGGCTATAAAATACCTGTTGTAAAAATGTGGTCTTTTCTTGGCTAATTTAAAAGGTAACTACCTTGCAATTAGCTGAGATCGTTAACATGGGAGGAATTTTCTGTCGAGGGTCAAAAGCACTGTCTTTTGCATCAGCTTTCAGAAGTCAGTGTCTTCATAGAAAGTATGAAGACACTTTGGGAGGCCAAGGCAGGAGGATTGCTTGAGATCACATGAAATCAGCATGGCCTCTGGACACAGGAGACCAGAGCTTGAATCCCACCACTTGGTAACCAAGCCATCTTGTCAGGCTCATCAGTGAGACACATTCTCTTGTCTGGGAAATGGGAAACAATCATTTCTTCTTCACAGATTCATTTGAAGGGTTAAATTCATTCATGTACATGGAAGCACTACCTGGTGTTTAGAAGTGAGTTGAATTTATATCTAAGCTGACCAAATTCCTGCAAACAGCACTCCCACAGGACCAGTAGGAAGGAGTTAGAACAAAGTCAATAGTGTAGACATTAGGCCCGGCTCCCCTCCGATGACACACCTAACCAGCCTCCGTTCCCCAGTCACCATAAAACAACACATCCTGAGCCTGGAACTGGACACAGATAGTAGCTTCACAGCTGGACGGATGCCCTTCCCACCTGCCAGCACTCAAGAACCACTACACCTTGGAGGTGTTCCAGGTAACTCTTGTCCTGACTTCTATAACATGTTGCCCTATGACAGCTCTGAACATTCGCTTCTTAACCCAACAAATGTGATGCTCCAGCCCATGAGTTTGTAGCAGGGCAACTCTTGGCTGGACAGTGGAGATGGTAAGGCCCTTTACACTGGTATGTGGGGAAAGGCAATTGCTAGAAAGGAGCACTTGTCAGGGAAGCCCTGGCCTCATTACTGCCATTTCCCCATGCCCCAAACCTGTAAATTTTCTTTTTTCAGCTAGAGTCTGACTCTGTCACCCAGGCTGGAGTGCAGTGGCGTGATCTCGGCTCACTGCAACCTCCGCCTCCCAGTTCAAGTGGTTCTCCTGCCTCAGCCTCCCAAGTAGCCAGGACTACAGGCACACGCCACCATGCCCAGCTAATTTTTGTATTTTTAGTAGATATGGAGTTTCACCATGTTGGCTAGGCTAGTCTCAAACTTCTGACCTCAGGCGATCCACCCACCTCGGTCTCCCAGAGTGCTGGGATTACAGGCATAAGCCACCATGCCCAATCCCAAGCCTGTAATTTATAAGCCGCTCTTAAGAGGTTGCATTAACCTAGAAGCCTGATACCAGCAAAGGGTCAGGAACGGGGCTAAAAAGCTGGTCTCTGTCCTCTCCAGGCATTTAGTTTTACTGGTGAGTTATTAAACTTTTGTGGGCCAGACTAGGAGAATCAGGCAGGCTGAAATGGAGTCAAGCTCAAGACTGGAATGTTGCCCAGGAAGAGCCTTTTCATTCTTCATTGTTTTCTGTCCCTCCAAATACACTGTAGCCTGGTTGTTAATTTTATAGGTCTTTCATTACCCATAAAAAGCACCAGTTTAGAGGTATTGATTTGGGCTGTGGATTCTCCTCTGAAGAACTTGAAGAGTAGCCTCATTGCTGATTTATCACAGCAGGTGGAATGTCAGACGCCTGCCCGAAGTGGAGAGGGCTGGGTGGGCTGAGATACAGGGTCACTTTAGCTTTCTCCACTAAGACTATCTTTTGCCTGGCATGGTGGCTCACACCTGTAATCCCAGAGCTTTGGGAGGCTGAGGCAGGAGGTTCACTTGAGGCCAGGAGTTCAAGACCAGCCTGGGCAACATAGCGAGACCCCCTCATCTCTACAAAAACATTAAACATTAGCCCAGGGTGGTGGCCCATGCCTCTAGTCCTGGCTACTTGGCAGACTGAGGTGGGAGGATTGAGTGAATCCAGGAATCCCAGGTTTACAGAGAGCTGTGATCGCAATGCTGTGCTCCAGCCTGGGTAACAGAGCAAGACCCTGTCTAAAAAAAAAAAAAGACTATCTTTAAAATCCAAGGAATATTCCCTGGACAATATGAATTATTCACTGAATGCCTCTCTACTTTCTCTTTCAGCCAATTTGACGACACTGAGGCTCCCTGTGTGGAAATCATTCTTTGGCTGTCTGAGGAATATTCATGTCAACCACATCCCTGTCCCCGTCACTGAAGCCCTGGAAGTCCAGGGGCCTGTCAGCCTGAATGGTTGTCCTGACCAGTAACCCAAACCTATTTCACAGCTAGGAAATTCATCTTCAAAAGCCCTGATTACCAAATGCACCTCCCTCCCCAGCTCGAGATCGTTCTTCACTCAAGACACCAACAAGACAGGTTTAATAGCAAATCTAATTTTGAATTCTGACCAAGGATACCCATCACTTTGACATTCAGTGCTACATGTGTATTTTATATCAAAATCCCTTTTCTTGAAGATAAAAAATTGTTATTCAAATATGCACAGAATGTTTTTGGTAATATTAATTTCCACTAAAAATCAAATGTCTTTTAAGAAATATTCTTTCTACTTGTTAAAAAAATTAAATATATTTTAAAGCACTTTAATAATATGAAACTTTCATATCTGTTAAAGGGTTATAATTTATGGATTAAAACATGCAGTGTAGTCTTTAAATTATGATGTTTTATTAGCATAAAACCAATGGTCTGATGGCCATTGTTAATCCTTCAGCACCTGATGTGTTACCTGCAGCATAGCCTTCTCCATATAATCACTGAGCATATACTGATAAGGTTTTTGTGTGTTCTCAGTATTGCAACTACAGTGAGGAATAAGAAATAATTCCTGCCCTCAAGGAATATGCAATCCAATTGGGGAGACACATAATATTCATAAAATAGTAACTTACAAACAAACTGAACTAATGAACCCATTAATTAATGAAGCCCATTGGCTTCCCAATCCTAGCCTTCCCCAGCCTGCCACCAACCAAGTCTAGATTATGATGATCAGTACCTTGAGGGCACAAACACCTAGTAGGGAAGCTGAGATGGATGTAATACACCATTACCGAAGCTTCGTGAGGCAAGCTAACCAAAGTCAATGGGATGGAGGACTCACTTCTAGTTTTATCTACAAAATAATGAACAATGTACTGAACCAATATTATCAGCCAGCACCACTTTCCCTAACAGAGAAGCCTATGCAAGCATTTCCATATCCTCCACAGCGTTTGTTCATCAGAAGAAAAATAACAAATAAGTCTAAAAAATAGGATATAGTAATTCTATGTGGTATCATTATAGCTACACACCCTCTTCCACCTCTGAAACTGAGTCACATCCCTTTCAACCCAGCATTCTCTTCTGACATCCACACTGCAGTCTTGTGGATGTGCTTTCTAATCATATCTACACAGAAATGGAATGTTCTCCTGGAGAGGTAGCGAGGTCCCCATCATAGGAGTATTCAACAGAGGCTGAGTGGTGATCCTTAGGGATGCCATATTGGGTTGGAGGTTGACTACATGACTCTAAGCTATGTGATTTCTTAAAATATTGATTTTAAAAAGAAAAATCCACCAGGCGATGACCAGCCAGGAACTGAGTCTGCAGGACAAGCATCCATTTTCATACCTGCCTTTGGCAGGTCTGCACTAAACTGATGGTTCTCTCTTCTGGGTCCCCGGTGTTAACCCAGCTGAATCTAAGAAGCTGTTCATTGGTGCTGATTATTTGATAGCACTTCCTAGATTCAAAAGAAAGGGGCAGTTACCAGGTGTGGTGGCTCACACCTATAATCCCAGCACTTTGGGAGGACAAGGCAGGGGGATTGCTTGAGGCCAGGAGTTTGAGACCAGCCTGGGCAACATAGCAAGGCCCTGTCTCTATAAAACAATAAAAAAAAAATTAGCTGGGCATGATGGCACATGCCTGTTGTCTCAGATACTCTGGAGGCTGAGGTGGGAGGATCACTTGAGCCCAGGAGGTTGAGACTGCAGTGAACTAGGATCACATCCCTGTACTCCAGCCTGTGTCTAAAAAAGAAAAAGAAAAACTAAAGGAAAGGGCTAGTGTATCCCTCACTGACTAATACCAGTGGTTTTCCCCTCATTTCATAAAAGCTTGAAGAACAGCCACCTATCTGCCCTTGCTGAATGCAGTTCCACAGAACTGTATTCTTGCTGAGAGAGTCACAGATGAAATTACAGCTGAGGCAAAAGAACATCCTCAGTGTGGCTATTCTCAGATTGTAAATGTGTGTTTCCTGAAAAGAATGTCTAGAGCTCAACCGAACCATCATGGGAATTATTTGTAAACTATCAAATGCCATGCAAACATTGTCACTGGTATCCTCTTCCTGGCTCATAGGTATACACAAATTGGGCCAACCTTGTGGGGAGAGGCTCAGTAGGGACAGCAGGATCACTGGTGGATGATACTGACTAGCTCACTACGGGTCCACCATTGTTCCATGTTTGCTCAGTGGATTGAGGCCTGGAAACAGCACATCTTCCTGGGCAGCAGACACTCCACAGCACCAAGTAGCAAAGCAGTCGAGGGTCTTTACGGGCCTGCTTCCTTCCGCATCCCTTAAGCTGCTGGCTGACCTCACTCTTCCATACAGACAGTTACTGAGGTTTTGCCATACTCACAATATCCTCATGCCAAGAGGACAACACCCCTGGATAGAACTTGCTGGCCTTCCCTTCTCCGAGGTCCACAGAGAGCTTGAACTCAGCCCCTTTCTCCACTCTCCCCGACCCCCAGAAATGCTGCATGGAAAACACCCCCCCAACACACACCTCGGCTTCTGCCAGCCACTCCAACTCTTCTCTTCCAGTTCCCCAGTTTTCTTTTTACTAATTTCAACTTGGGCAAGTCAGTGCTAGCCCCCGAAAGGCTTCATTCTTCCTTTGGAATGAGGACTTAAAGCCAATATATGGGTAGAACAATTTTTTAAATAACTTTTTTTAATCGAATATAAGTGGTATGTGTGTTTGTTATGGAAATATTGGAATATGTGGAGAGGCATAAAAGTCACCTAGAATCTCACCACTCCGAAATCTGTTTGTACGTAGTTATATGTTCATTAGCATTTTTAAATTCACATGTATTTTCTTACAAAATAATGGTAATATCATATGTATTGTTTTTATATGGTTTTAAACACTCTTTTGTGTTTCCCAGATCTTTAGAACATTTTATTCCATCAGACAAATTTATCATAATGTATTTAACCTCTCTCCAGTTATTCCATAAGTGGATTTTTCCGCTTTTTTGTAGTTGTTGTTGCAATTACAAGCAACACTAAAATGAAGCTATCCTGGGATATAAATTTATTTATTTTCTTAAGGTAAATTCTTAGAACTAACACTATCAGGTCAAAGGATATAAACATTTTAACAATTGTTGTTAGCTATTACCAAATTGTCCCCCAAAAGTTTATATCTGTATCTGTTTACACTCAGAATCATTTTAAGCTGACCTTAGTCCCTAATACCACTGAATAGGAACCCACTAAAGCCTGCTGATGATCTTCAAGATGGGCAGCAGACATTTATGTTTATGCAAACCAGCGTTTAGAGGTCCGCCCTGATCCAGGCCCATCTGAGCCAAAATCCCATCACCTGGAACAGGTGGTCAGCTGGTGGGTGTTTAGCTGTGAGGGGCGATCCTGTAAAATACCTTAGGAGAAGGGGCAGCTTGATGATCAGTCCTGAGGAACTGGAGCTGGGCCACAGACGCAGCCAGGTTTGCAGAATGCGTCACGCTCAAGAACGCCAAACTAGTGCCAAGCCCCGGCCATGCTCCCAGAAAGGGTTGGAATAATGTGCCGAGCTCTCTTCGCAGCACTGGGCCACAGTGATCAGTCCAGCCAGCCGACTTCACCCTCCTTCACCTTGGAAGTTTACTTTCATTGTAAGTGAAACTTTCATGAGGATTCTCTCAGGCAGGATTTCCAGGATTAATTGGGAAAAGCTCGAGACCCCATCCCTCCCACCACCCGGCCCAACAGAGAAATCCAATGCAAAACTTTTGTTTTTAAAAATGTGGGTGATATAATAGCAGCGGTAGAAAGGGACAGATTTGTTTCCAGTTTCTTCTTTTGCCAAACAATATAGCTTAATTCTTCAGCATAGAAATTTCAGCACAATGTCTGCCTGCCTGAGAATAGAAAGCAGAGATGAAATCGGGATATCCTTGTTAATCATCCTCTCGGCAAAGAACATAATTCTCCCAAAGTAGAGGGGTGGCGGCCTGAGAGGATGAATACTATTGACTGGAAATGTCTTTTCTCCCTCGCTCATAAAGACTTCTATGACCCCAGAATATAAAGTGTACCTTTCCATTGCCAGAAGGTTTCTTTCCTCATAAATTTTGAATGTGTGGTTTACTTTACATTGAGCCCTTGATAAAATGAGAATTGGGAGTTTCAGAGGGTAGAGGACTGGAACTTTCTGCCACACCTGAGTCCATGTGAATGCACGCAGGTCACACAGCAGCACACACTTACTGATTGAATCATCACTTGCTCAAAAGCCTTTTGCATATTAATCGCTAACTTTAATCATTTCATACTCAGGGAGCATGCATTTCTAAACAGTTATCATAGAGCTGTATGTCGGAGCTGCAGCTTGGCATGCTGTCCATTCAAAAGGCAAATCTTGGAAGGTGTTTACTATTCCTGCAGGAAATATGCTTCCTTGGAAGCATCCTTGGAAATAAAGTTTATATTCCAGAAAACAAGTGATTGAGCACAGCTGGCATTCACCTGCAGTGCTGTCAGGGGAGAATAAAATCCCAAACATCCACAATTTCCCCAGAAGTGCAATGTCCTTAGTGCGGGAGGAAGGGTCCATAAAATTCAGAGGCTGAAATGCATCCTAGGACATCAGGGGCACTTCCTGAGCCAAAGACCAGCTGCTACTGTGACAGCTTCTGGCCAGCCCAGCTCCCAGGGGGGTTGTCTCTTGTTCCTTAGTTCCCTATAATCCATCTCTTCCCACTTTCCCAGAATGAAAGGAAAGCCCCACCTCCACACCCCACTTTAGAGAAGAGCTATTGCTCTTGGAAGTCTCTGGAATCTGAGCCACCCCTTGTTACTTTGAGCCTGTAATCTCAGCAGCGGTTTAAGCATGCAAGCTTTCTGTCAGGGTGTTTAAAATATCCTAGAAGTCCGAGGGCAGAAATTACCTCCCTTACTTCATAAGGCTTCTTTGAGAGTTAAACGAAATGGCAGATGTGAAAATGTTAGGAGAACATCACTGTTAATGTTACTGTTAGCTGGGCATGCTGGCTCACACCTGCAATCCCAGTACTCCGGAAGCCTGAGGTGAGAGGACTGACTGAGGCCAGGAGTTCAAGACCAGCCTGGGCCGCATAGCAAGACTCCATCTCTGCCAAAAGAAATAAGACAATTAGCTGGAAATTATCTTATTGCCACTCACCTGTAGTCCCAGCTACTCAGGAAGCTGAGGTGAAAGGATCTCTGGAGCCCATGAGTTCAACGCTGCAGTAAGCTATGATTACACCACTGCACTCCAGCCTGGGCAACAGGGAAAGACCCCGTATGTATTACTATAAATGTGAATCTATATAGTAATATATATTACTATAAACTATATTATTCAAGTTTTGATATTTCCACTCCATTTTTAGTGTTGTTTATAG